AGGACGAGGAGGAGGTGGCGTCCAGTCTGACGGGCCCGGAGCCCGAGCGACACCCCGGGCACTTGAGCGTCGGCCGAGCGGCTCGTGGCCCCCCCCCTTCTCCCCTGCCCCCCTCCCCTCCCCCTTCCTTTCCACTCCCAGAGGACACTGGTTTCCAAAACCTCAAGGAGGAGGAGGAGGAGGAGGAGGGGGAGGAGGAGGAGCGGGACGAGGTGTGAAAGCGCGCCCTCCCCTCCCCTCTCCTCCCCCCCCCCCCCCCCCCGCGAGCCCGGAGCGCGGCCCGGCGGGTCCGGGGCTTCCCGAAGGCTGCGCGGCCGCCCGGGACAGGGTGGCGTCGGCGCCCGCGGAACCAGCGCCCCACTGACCCGCGGGGACCCGCCCCGCCACGCCCCTTCCCGCGCGGAGCAGGTGCACGACCGAGCGGCGGGGACCGAGGGGCCGCCGGGCACCTCCGCCCACCGGGCCGGGCGCTTCCAGGACCCGCCCCTCGAGAACGACTGACGAGTCGGGGAGAAATCCATCCACCAAAAGTCTTCGGGGCTCCTGGGCTGCCTGCGCGGGGCCCAGGCCGAGACCCGGGTCCCAGGTTCGAGTCCCGCGTCAGGGCCCGCGGGGCGCCTGCTGCTCCCTCTGCCTGGGGCTCGGCCTCGCTCTGTCTCTCTCAGGAATAAATACGTAAAATCTTTAATAATAATAATATTAGGGATCCCTGGGTGATGCAGCGCTTTGGCGCCTGCCTTTGGCCCAGGGCCTGAACCTGGAGACCCGGGATCGAATCCCACATCAGGCTCCCTGCATGGAGCCTGCCTCTCCCTCTGCCTGGGTCTCTGCCTCTCTGTGTGTCTCTCATGAATAAATTTTGAAAAATTAACACCGGGTCTAGTGCGGGAGCCTTAGGCTCAGTGTCTCGGCCTCCCTGCGGGGGCAGCACCCATCCCCACAGGTGCTGCCCGCTGGTGGGCCCGGTGCCCGCTGCAGGCCGCTGCCCGCATAGCCATCTGTCACCTGCGGCACCTGCTCCCCAGGCTCCTGGGCTCCAGGCCACCTACCCCACGAGCCCCTTGGGCGTTGAGGACAGAGCTGGGGGGGTGGCGGGGGGGGGCACAGCTGGGAGGGTCCATTGGGGCTGGGCCTGGTGCCCGCACCACCCAAGTGGGGCAGGAGCCCTGCGGACCCCGGGCCAGCGAGCCAGCGGCACCCACAGCTGACCGCCCAGGCCCCAGGGACCTGCAACAGGCTGGCCCCGGGCCCAGTTGATCTTTCTCTGGGGAAAAAAATACAGTGAATGAAGTGTTTCAACTGCCTTGGAGGAGCCAGTGTGGACACCCACGCCCCAGACTCCGGCGGTGACCGTGTCACGCTCCACGATGCCAAAAGTGAGCCTTTAGCTACCGGCTCCATCTTTGCAGGGGACTTGAACTCACTTCCTGAGATGTTCGTGAAACAGGGCGGGCTTGTCCTGGGTGGACGTTGGCCTGCCAGTCTGTTCCGCACTAAGTAAGGCGCCTGGTAGGTTCAAGTCGCACGCATGTAACTTGTTTATTTTTATTTTTTAAGATTTTATTTATTCATGAGAGAGAGGCAGAGACACAGGCAGAGGGAGAAGCAGGCTCCCTGCGGGGAAAGGTCCCAGGACCTGGGGTCATGCCCTGGGCCGAAGGGAGACGCTCGCTCAACCACTGCGCCCCCAGGCAGCCTGGATTGGATCCTTTTATTTTTTTTTTTTTATTTTTTTTTTTTAAACTTTTTTTAAATTTTTATTTATTTATGACAGTCACACAGATAGAGAGAGAGAGGCAGAGACACAAGCAGAGAGAGAAGCAGGCTCCATGCACCGGGAGCCCGACGTGGGACTCGATCCCGGGTATCCAGGATCGCGCCCTGGGCCAAAGGCGGGCGCTAAACCGCTGCGCCACCCAGGGATCCCCCGGATTGGATCCTTTTAAACGTAAAATTCTACCTTCTACATATTTACTGATGACGTACACGGTTCCTTCTGGTCCGTTTTTAACATGTGCTTGTGAACCTTCTTGCCTATTATAAGGACATACTTGTATCCGCTGAACATTAGGATCCCGCCCCGGGCCGGAGGCAGGTCTAAGGTGCTGAGCCACCCAGGGATCCCCTAAAACCTGCTTTTAAATTCTGGGCACGTCCGCTACACAACGAGGGGCGGTGGTCTTCCTACTTCGGCGTCGATCACAGTCCCGGAGGACCTGCAGAGACGCCGCCTGCGGCCCGAGCCCAGGGGCCAATGCAGGTCTGTGACGGCCGAGAACGGGCCTCCCTAATGAGTTCCAGGCTTTTTTAAAAGTCATTTTAATTCTAGTATAGTTGTCATACAGTGTATTATTTGACACTTAGAACTCATTTAGGATTTTTTTTCTTTTTTTTTTTAATTTTTATTTACTTATGATAGTCAGAGAGAGAGAGAGAGAGAGAGAGAGAGAGAGAGAGAGAGAGAGGCAGAGACACAGGCAGAGGGAGAAACAGGCTCCATGCACCGGGAGCCCGATGTGGGATTCGATCCCAGGTCTCCAGGATCGCGCCCTGGGCCAAAGGCAGGCGCCAAACCGCTGCGCCACCCAGGGATCCCAGGATTTTATTTTCAGAGAGAGAGTGTGTGAGCGTGGTGGGGGGAGGGGCAGAGGCAAAACCTTTGTTTCGTTTACGAGATTTTTTTTTAAAGATTTATTTATTTATGATAGACGGGGGGAGAGAGAGAGGCAGAGACACAGGGGGAGGGAGAAGCAGCCTCCATGCAGGGAGACCGAAGTGGGACTCGATCCCGGGACTCCAGGACTGTGCCCTGGGCCGAAGGCAGGCACTAAACCGCTGCGCCACCCAGGGATCCCAAAGGTAGGTGTTTAAAAAGTCCTTAAAATAAATCTACTTTTCATAATGAATGCTAAGCATTAAGGAATCTCTTCCTGAATTCAATAGCAGAACTGAGAAAGCCACACCCTGCAGGAGGAGCTCTAATGTTCGTTGCCTTCACTATTGTGTATTGTGAAGTTCCCAGGGGGAAAACAACAACCAGAACCAACAGTCTCAGATCACCACAGCTGTTCCTTCATCCTAAACAAGCCAGTACTTTCTCTACGATGTCCCCTTCAAAGAAGGGACGGAGGCGGTGTCTCTAATAGATGCAACTTTGCGAGAGGTGACCGCTCAGGGCCATTCTTCTAAATCAGGTGGTCTCGTTGAAGGCATCTCCTACGAGCCCCTGCGAACCTCTGCCGACAGAACATGAGGAGGGAAGCCAGCAGTTACCTGGTTACCTCAAGCTGCAAGCTGCTTCCACATAAAGAGCCATTAGGTCCAGGCTGAAAGGAGGACTCATGGGAGAGGGATCTCTTACTTTCATTTGGCCACATTACATCTCTGTGTGTGCGGGCGTGCACCTGCAACTGAGAATGCGTATGTCTGGGCTCAGCTCAAGATCTGTGAATAGACGGTTCCATTGTTTTGTTTTGTTTTTCTAAAGATTTTATTTATTCATGAGAGACACAGAGAGAGGCAGAGACCCAGGCAGAGGGAGAAGCAGGCTCCCTGCAGGGAGCCGGATGCAGGACTCGATCCAGGGACCCCGGGGTCATGCCCTGGGCTGAAGGCAGATGCTCAACCGCTGAGCCACCCGAGCGCCCTACACGGTGTCTTTTCTGACAATGTTCTTCACTAAGAATTGTTATTTATAAAATTATAAACATCATAGTGAAACTCAATCTAGAGTAACGTTTGTAGATTTAAAATACATACACCTGGGCAGCCCAGGTGGCTCAGCGGTTTAGCGCCACCTTCGGCCCAGGGTGTGATCCTGGAGACCCCGGATCGAGTCCCACGTCGGGCTCCCTGCATGGAGCCTGCTTCTCCCTCTGCCTGTGTCTCTGCCTCTTTCTCTCTCTGTGTCTCTCATTAATAAATAAATAAAATCTTTTAAAAAAAATAAATAGACCTTTGCTATGGAAACCTAAGTACTCTCAACGGGATATATCCTGGAGAGACTTCTGCCTATAATTGAACCCAAAACAGGGACCTTACCATACATCCTCATCTAAGTTTTTCTGGTGAAAACAGTGGCAAAATTGAGGGGGATTAAGTTAAATGGCCTCTGGGTGTGAGCCTGAGTGACGCTACTGGAGACAGACACCACGACTCTGACTTTGTTAGCCTGAAGGAAGAGGTAGGCCAGGGTCAGACGGCAAATCCACAACACGGTGGTAGTAGATACGCTCCATTACGTAAAATACTTAACCAGTCATCACAGAGGATGCAAGAGGCCTACCTCAGGGAAGGGAAGGGTTAACAAGACCTTTTCCTTCACTGCCAGTGTCCCCTTCAGTTAAGCCCTCATGGTAACTGACGAAGGACGCAGGAGTGTCACCTAGGTTCCAGGCAACTTAACTGTGGTAAAATGACTCCTGGCTACTAAAGTGTATCTGGGCTGGATGTACCATAAATACCTGCTGGGAACACCATGCCTGGGGCTCTTCTGAGGGGGGGGGTCTCAAAACAGACACGTCCCCTGTGGGGCCCCTGGAAGTTGTACTCAGGGACTTCATGCAAGAGACAGTGGCCCTGGCGGCCTGTGAAGGACCCGTCACCTGGCACCTGAACTGCAGCCGGGTGACCTGCTCCAGGGCTGCGGCTGAGGAGCACTGCTCCATGCTGCCCTCCCGCCCGTCCGCGGCTCCTCTTCAATATCCCCTGCAGTATACTGGTGCCACGTGCGGCCGCGGTCATCTTATGACTGAATGTTTAGACCTAAAAAGACCCCTTTTGGTCACAGCTATGAAATAGTCGTAGATGCACGAGATGTATATTTATATTATGATTCTTTAGTTAAGCTCAGAGACCCCTCAGGTGGGTGGAACAGTAATAATTGCCTTACTATTGCTTAATTTTCATCTCCTATGAACTTATAATTTTCCTTTTACACTAAAATTGAAGAAAAATAAATAATTCTGTATTTACTTTAATATTTACTTTAATTATAAAGCAATGAAATTAACGTATCAATTTAATTATTACAAGTAACTTAAAAACAATAATGTATAATGACTTTGAAAACATTATAAACCAAATTAACAGTGAAGTACTATTGTATTCTGGGCATTTCTGTGAAGGACACAAATTTTAAAATATAAAATCCCACATTTTTCCCCCCCGCCCCTCCCCTCTTTAAAAGTTTATTTTAGTAATCCAACAAGGGGCTCGAACTCATAACCCTGAGATCAAGAGTCTTATGCTCTGATGAAGGACCCAGCTAGGCACCCCAATCCTAAGTCTTCTTACCAAACAGCTTCTTAAATCAGATTTTCCGTCTTCATATTTTTAATTGGAGCTTCTTCTGAAGACTCATTTTATTTACAGTTGCAAATGTCCTTTTATTGCATCCACTGTCTACTAATTGCTGGAATCAAATACCTGAAGACGTTGGAATCTTATGAATACAGCCAGGACAGCAGTGGAGAGAGTCATGAACAAAAACATCACAGTCCACACAGAAAACATTTTGGCACACGGCACAAACATAGACCTGCAGTGAAAAACAGAAAAGAAAATTTAAAAAGGAGTTTCCAAAAGTTAAGTACCACACAGCTAGAAGACATTCAAATTGCTTTGTTCTTTTCTCTATCAATTTCCCCCACGCATCTACCTAATTACTTCCAATGTACTATTTGTTCTCAAATATAAGGTGATTATTTTTCCCCCAAAAAAACGCTATTCCTTACAAATGAGAAAATTACCTTGTTTTTGACTGTTAAAGTCTCTTGTATTGTAAGGTATTTTCAATTACTTCATTTTAATTAACTATCTGAGGAAGATACATGAGCTTGAAATTAGTGCTAATTTCATTTTTTTTAATAAAGATTTTATTTATTTATCCATAGAGATGCAGAGAGAGAGAGAGGCAAAGACACAGGCAGAGGGAGAAGCAGGCTCCATGCAGAGAGCCCGACGTAGGACTCGATCCAGGGTCTCCAGATCACGCCCCGGGCTGCAGGCAGCGCTAAACCGCTGTGCCACCAGGGCTGCCCTAGTGCTAATTTCAAATGCTTACGTCATTTCTCTGATTTGATTAAAAAGAAAAGTACAAGGATGCCTGAGTGGCTCAGTGTGTTGAGCGTCTGCCTTCGGCTTGGGTTGTGATCCCAGGGACTTGGGATCGAGTCCTGCATTGGGGTCCCCGCATGGAGCTGCTTCTCCCTCTGCCTGTCTCTCTCTCTCTCTTTGGATCTCTCATGAATAAATAAATAAAATCTTAAAAAAAAAAAAAAAAAAAAACAAAGGACCTCACAACTGCACAATTATAGTCTCCTTTTATTTAACAATTAAAGAATATGGAAAAAGACATATATAAGGCAAAAAGAAAAAACCCATTATTTTATCAATATTACATATTTGGATACTGTGCCTTGGGGTGAAATTTCCAAGGCAGCATCATACAGAGATTAAAAAATTATTACATCTCAAAAGCACAGAAGTAAAGACAATGTGTTCTTAAGAAATGTCAAATGAGTCAAAGGTGGCTCTAGTCAGGATAAAGCTACTGATGTCAAAGGGGCATGTGAAACTTAATAAAATTGTTTTATGAAATGTGAGAGTAGACCAAGCAATCCTTCCAACCGATATTTTATACGGTGCACAAAGTATAGTTTTAAATATGGATACCTAACTAAATTAATAAGCATTTAAAGCTAGATAGTGGTCTAATTTGCATCTTTACATAAGTGTATACATTCAAATTGGTCCCCTTCAAAAATTTAAAAAATATTCTCACTGGCACATTGGGAGGGAACAGCCTTTGGTCTGTAGTAGCTACCTTAAATATTAACTTAAAAATGAATTGTGACAGAGCCTAAAACATAATACGGAGAACAAGCTTTTAATTTCAAACTAAATACCATTTAGCCTTAGACTAAAGACAGTTTAAAGTACTGAAATACTGTTATAGAAAAATTAAAATGCAGCATTATAAAGCAGACTACTGAAACCATTTTGCTCCCATTTTATCTTTCCCTACTGTTATCATACTTCCGAGGAATAACCTGATAGGAGCCTGGTTTTCAATAATGCACCAAAAACTTCTAATGCTATTTCCTCAATATTTCTTGTACAATGTTTAATATTTAGGGGGGACTGGGTGGCTCAGTGGTTGAGCATCTTCCTTTGGCTCCGGGCGTGACCCCGGGGTCCTGGGATCAAGTCCCGCATCGAGCTCCTGCCTCTCCCTCTGTCTGGGTCTCTGCCTCTCTCTGTGTCTCTCCTGAAGAAATAAATAAAATCTTTAAAAAAACACAATTATTTAATACTTAGAAAACACATGAACTTACATGCTGGTCTTTCAATTCCCCCTGACATCCATAACAAAATCTGAAAAAGAAAGTTTAAGAATCATTTTATTAGGAATTCACTCATTAAAACAGCTCAGCAAAATCTCAGTAACAAGAATCCTATAATTAGTAATTATATTTACATACAACTTCTATGAGAAAGACAGAATTAAGAATACCAGTAACTTAAGAAAATTCTACAGTATATCCCAAGGACATCTCATAAGCAAAATTCTACTTAAAAAAATTATTTTCAGGGATCCCAGGATGGCTCAGTGGTTTGGCGCCTGCCTTTGGCCCAGGGCGCGATCATGGAGTCCCGGGATCGAGTCCTGCGTTAGGCTCCCTGCATGGAGCCTGCTTCTCCCTCCTCCTGTGTCTCTGCCTCTCTCTCTCTCTCTCTCCCCCTCTCACTGTCTATCATAAATAAATAAATACATAAATAATAAATCTTTTTTAAAAAAATAAATAAAAAATAAAAAAATTATTTCCTTCAAGGTTAAATACGAGCATGCTTTCACTACTGGGATTCTGTGAGGCAATAAAGCCTTACAGAAAATGATTTGGGGGGCGCCTGAGTGGCTCAGTTAAGTGTCTGCCTTTGGCTCAAGTTCTGATCCGAGGGTCCTGGGATGAGCCCTGCCGTTGGGGGGCTCAGCAGGGAGTCTGATTCTCCCTCTCCCTCTGCTCCTCCCTCAGCCTATGGTCTCTTTTTATTCTCTCTCTCAAATAAAAAAGAAAATATTCTTCAAAATAAAAGAAAGAAAAGAAAATAATCTGAGTGACCACTTTGCGACTCTCAATAGTGAGGAGCAGACAGCTGGTACAATTCTAGACGGACAGAAGAGAAGTTAATTTATGTGTGGATGCCTAAGGGCTTAACGTTGAAGGAATGGTTTAAAAAGTTAAAAGTTTTCAAAGCTTACAAAATTAGCAGCTCTCTCCCTACCCACCCCCACTTCATTTCCAGTTCCCCAAACACTGAAAACTTTTAAAAGTCTGATCGTTACCTATGCTTACAGTGCTATTGCTTTTTTTTTTTTTTTTTTCCTGGCATTGGCTGTAAACCTCCAAATGTAGAAGATGGGAATTTAATTTTCTTTTAACCCTCTTGAATCTATAGCATATACACACACATAACTAACACCATTCTTAATTCTATATAATGAAATCATTTTGAGTGGAAGAACATTACATTTAGTTTGTTAAGACTATATAAACACATTCAGCTGAGCCACATAACACAACTCTTCCCATCTTCAACATATTTTTTTTCCTGAAGTTAATAACTATATTGTTGGGATCCCTGGGTGGCGCAGCGGTTTGGCGCCTGCCTTTGGCCCAGGGCGCGATCCTGGAGACCCGGGATCGAACCCCACATCGGGCTCCCGGTGCATGGAGCCTGCTTCTCCCTCTGCCTGTGTCTCTGCCTGTCTCTCTCTCTGTATGTCTATCATAAATAAATAAAAATTTAAAAAATTGTTTAAAAAAAACAAAACAAAACTATATTGTTGTCCACAAGCTTAGTTTTCTACGTAATTGATGCCAACTCAACCCCAACCATTCCCTGAGAAATCCAAAATGTCCTCTCTCTGACTCCTAACTCTGGGAAATGAACAAGAGGTAGTGGAAGGGAGGCGGGGGGGAATGGGGTGACTGGGTGAAGGGCACTGAGGGGGACACTTGACGGGATGAGCACTGGGTGTTATGCCATATGTTGGCAAATCGAACTCCAATAAAAAAATATACCAAAAAAAAAAAAAGTCCTCGTGTGTTCACCTACATCAGGAATTCTAGTTTTCACCCTCTTGGTGACATCTCTCCTGGCACATTCTGACCCTCTCCAAGCTGGACTATTTATTCCCCATATCTGACATAAAAGTATCATTCTGGAATCTCCTCTTATCATCATCCTAGCCACATTTGAATTAGATCAATGTTCCTATTCTCTTCCGGTCATACTCTTTCGCAGTTTCTTTGAATCATCTCTTTCACAGTTCTCCAGAAAGCCCCTTTTTGAGGCCTCACAAGTCTGAAAATGTCTTTATTCTACCTACATCTAATTGATAGGTTTGGTAGGCCTGTAATTTAAATTAGTAACAACCATTCCTCCACATTTGGAAGGAAATCGCTCCCTGGCAGTATCCAGTATTGCTGAGAGGCAAAACAATTTTAATTCGAGTATGGGACTTAATTTTCCCCATCTAGAAATATTTAGAGTTTTGTTGCATATTCTAAAATTTCACAACAATGAACTTCAGTGTGGGTCTGTTTTCCCTAATGGTGTGGGGCACCGGACGGTCCCTTCCAATCTACAAAGCTTCGTCCTTCAATAGTAGAAAATATCCTTTAGCTATTTCTTTCCTACTCTTTATTTGAACTTCTATTTCTCTTATTATGCTAATACTAGACCTTCTGAATAAATCCTCTGGTTTTACACCACGGAAATAAGCTAAGGCTGCAAATCAGGGCTTTCTCGTTGTTTTGGAGAGCCAACTGATCAGCATATAACTACAGGTACTATATACAGAGATGGGCTTAGGGAAATTAATAGATTTCTAGAGATCCAGATCTGTTTAGTAATGAGTCACTTCAGTCATAACCAAGGCATTGTACCATCTCATTTTCCATATTAGACGTAATCTTGGGGCTCCTGGGTGGCTCAGCTGGTTAGTTAAGTGTCACCTATGGCTCAGGTCATGACCCCAGGGTGCTAGGAACGAGCCCTGCATCCTATGGGGCTCCCTGGTCTGCAGGGAGTCTGCTTCTCCCTCTCCCTCTGCTCTTCCCCTCATTTATGCTCTCAGGTTCTCTCTGTGTCAAATAAATAAATAAAAATCTTTAAAAAAAAAAAAAAGGAGGGGGTGGTGCGCCTGGGTAGCTCACTTGGTTAAGCCTCTGCCTTTGGCCCAGGTCATGATCCAGGATCTTGGGATCAAGCCTGGCATCGGGCTCCCCACAGGGGGTCTGCTTCTCCTTCTCCCTCTATCTCCTCCCCCCTGCTTATGCTCTGGCTCTCCTCTCTGAAATAAAATCTTAAAAAAAAAAAAAAAAAAGGGATCCCTGGGTGGCGCAGCGGTTTGGCGCCTGCCTTTGGCCTAGGGCGCGATCCTGGAGACCCGGGATCGAATCCCACATCGGGCTCCCAGTGCATGGAGCCTGCTTCTCCCTCTGCCTGTGTCTCTGCCTCTCTCTCTCTCTCTCTGTGACTATCATAAGTAAATAAAAATTTAAAAAAAAAAAAAAAAAAAAAAAAAAAAAAGTTGTCTTGTCCAATAGGACTATCTTTTTTAATGTTGTAACAATGCATTCAAACATTACTGTACCACGTATAACAGATAGAAATCAAAACTCATATACCTTTCTCCATTATGTTCTTCTAGAGGAATTTCTTGAAAAGGATCCAAAGGAAATAAATGATGGTAAGACCTTGCCAAATGTGGAGCAGACACCAAAGTAAGACCTAACAAATGAAGCAGGGAATCATGTTTAATAGTCCAGAGCTCATTAAGACAATGGCTGAAATGTCAAATGAGAGGTTAAATATTTTCAAGGTTTTTTTTTTTTTTTTAAGATTGCTGGTATGGATTTCCTCATTTACATATTGCTTTAAAAAGAAAATTCCAGGATAGAGTCGTACTTCTGTCACTAACTGTGTGACCTCTGTTGGCCACTTGCTTCCTTAAAAATGGAACAAAATTCTACAATTCTATTACCTGTAATTCCTCCCTGCCCTTATATATACTTATTTTATGAAGGTAAGAGCTGCAGAAACGTAAGATCTACTGCAAAGCCTTTAAAGAACATACTCATTTCAGAAAGATAATCAGAAAACTGTTCCAGAATACCAGGTTTATTCTGAGAAATGGAGTACTGGGCACTCAGTAAAAAAAGCCATTTCTATTCTCACAGATTAAATTGAGAAACACTGGCGGAGTTTAACATTTACATTTACTTTTTTTTTTTTAAGATTTATTTATTTATGATAGACAGAGAGAGAGAGAGAGAGAGAGAGAGGCAGAGACACAGGAGGAGGGAGAAGCAGGCTCCATGCCAGGAGCCCGACATGGGACTCGATCCCAGGACTCCAGGATCGCGCCCTGGGCCAAAGGCAGGCGCTAAACCGCTGAGCCACCCAGGGATCCCCTACATTTACTTTAATAGCAATATGGGGGGGAATCCCTGGGTGGCTCAGCAGTTCAGTGCCTGCCTTTGGCTCCGGGGTGTCATCGTGGAGACCCAGGATTGAGTCCCACATCGGGCTTCCTGCGTGGAGCCTGCTTCTCCCTCTACCTGTGTCTCTGCCTCTCTCTCTCTCTCTCTCTCCGTCTCTCATGAATAAATAAATAAAATCTTAAAAACAAAAAAAGCAATATAGGTAAGAAGTTATTCAAGATTAATTTATTAGACAGAGAACAGTTGGTCTCTTACCACAGATTTTACATTCAACTGGAAGCTCACAGTACTTTGCCCGACACTGAGGGCAGAAATACCCTCCTAATGTAAGTCCTGGTTCCGTGTTGCTATCCAGGTGCCTGTGGGAGGAAACATTAAAGTGATACATAAAGATGTGAATGGTTATAGCAAAAAAAAAAAAAAAAAGTATGCTACCCTGATTTTAAAATCATCAAGCTGGGGATCCCTGAGTAGCTCAGTGGTTGAGTGCCTGCCTTCGGCCCAGGGTGTGATCCTGGAGTCTGGGAATCAAGTCCCACATCGGGCTCCATGCATGAAGCCTGCTTTTCCCTCTGCCTGGGTCTCTGTGTCTCTCATGAATAAATAAATCTTTTTTAAAAAATTAAATAAATAAAATAAAATCATCAAGTTGTTTGACAGCTTACTTAGGCGAGGTTCATTCTTTACCTTTTTTCCTCTCTGCATTTGTTTCAAATAGGTTGCATTAATGTCTTTACTGTTTTTTTTTTTTTCTTAAATAATTTCCATGCCCAATGTGGAGCTTGAACTCATGACCTTGAGATCAAGAGTCTCACGCTCTCCCGACTGAGCCAGCCAGGTGCCCCAAGTGCATTAATGTCTCTGAATTCACTCTTTTCTTTAGTGACTCATCTGCTGTTAATCACATCCAGTATATTTTTCACTTCAGACACTGCATTTGTCTCTAGAACTTTGATTCGGGTCTTTTTCGTAATAGCTGTTTTTTTTTTTTGTTTTGTTTTTCCCCGTAACAGCTGTTTTAATACTTTGTCTACTAATTCTATCAACTGTGTTGTTCTTGGGTATGTTTCTGTTCTTTGATTCTCTCCTTCTTGTGGGGGATATTTTCCACTTTCTCTGCATACCCGGTCATTTGATTGGCTGCCAGACATTATGAATTTTTCTTTTAGGTGCTGGACTTTCTGGTATTCCCTTAAACACATTGGGGCTTTTTCTAGAATATAGTTAAGTAACTTGGAAATAGTTTGATCTGTTCAAAACTTGCTTTTGAGTTCATTAGGCTGTCCAGAACAGCTGTTAGTCTAGGGTCATTTTGGTTCCCTCACTGTGGACTCTGTTCAATGCCCAATGTTAAAGGAGATCCCTCCACACTGATCAGGGGGAACATGAACTATTGCATGCCTCCTGTGAGCTCCACGGACTAGGCCACCTCTCTCCTCTTCAGGGGTTCTTTCCTGGGCCTCAGGTAGTTTCCACACGAATGTGATGATCATAACTCAGCTGATGACTCATGGGGACGTCTCTCTGTGGTCTCAAGAGCTCTCTGTATAGCTCCTTACTTTCTAGTACTGTGCCTGGAAAACTACAGCCATTTCAGCCTCCCCAAACTCTGAATTCTGTTTCTTCACCTGAGCAAGACCTCCAGGCTCTGAGTAGATTTTCCCTCTCTGCACTGCAGCCTGGAAATTCTCTCCAGGCAGTAAGCTGCACTCACAGGGCCCACCTCATGTGTTTCAAGGATCATTACCTGCACTGGCTGTTGTCCACGTCTGAAAATCACTATTTCATGTATTTTGTCTGGTTTTGTGGCAGGAGGGAAGACGGGACATTCAGTCTATATGGTACCCCGATAACTGGGGATACAACTCTTATTTGTGATTTTTAAGAATTACTTTCTTTAATTTAATTTTGTTTTATAATTATGTAAAGTTAAAACAAGGTATGTTCAGAAACGTCAAGGAGCCATCCCTTTGCCTTTCTCCATGCACTAGCCAGGTATACATTTTTCTATTTTACTTTCTATTTCCATTACTATTTTTGTCATTAATATAAACAAATATGTATATTCAATCAAGTCTCCACCTTCTGGGCAGCCTGGGTGGCTCAGCGGTTTAGCGCCGCCTTCAGTCCAGGGTGTGATCTTGGAGACCCGGGATCGAGACCCACATCGGGCTTCCTGAATGAATGAATGAATGAATGAATAAATAAATAAATAAATTTTTAAAATAAAAGATTTTATTTATTTATTCATGAGAGAGAGAGAGAGAGAGAGAGAGAGAGAGAGAGGCAGAGACACAGACAGAGGGAGAAGCAGGCTCCCTGCAGGAAGCCTGATGTGGGACTGGATCCCGGGTCTCCAGGATCACACCCCCAGCTGCAGGCAGCGCCAAACCACTTTGCCACTGGGGCTGCCCAAATAAAATCTTAAAAAAAAAAAAAGTCTCCACCTTCTTCTTAGATGAGTAGTAGCATACTAAACATTTTTCTCTACCTTGCTGTTTTACTTAGCACTAATTGCCGAAGATTACTCCACAGAGTCCATACTCCTTGCTAGTGCTACATATAAGGTAGCCTCTTACATACGCCATTACACTCCGAGCCCTACAACTTCAGTTTATATTTTTAAATTTATAACTTGCAGGACAGAATTGAAAGTGTCAAAACATAACCACTGACAGTTTTAAGGGTTTTACTTACGCCATGCTGAAAGAGGGCTTTGCATCTTGGTCAGACAGAGAAGCGATGGTATGTTGCGGAAATCCTTGATAGAAGAAAATGTATTACTTTCTTTTTTCAAGCAAGTATCAAAATTCTAGAACTAGGAACCTAAATAAAAATGTTCCTACCAGAAAGCCCACAAAATTGTACGTTTCTTGTATTCTCCTGCCCTTCAGATTTGTTTATTATACTGAGGTCAAGTTGACTGTAATTCCAGGTTATGTGAAAAATTAAAAGTGGAGAGGGCAGCCCGGGTGGCGCAGCGGTTTAGCACCGCCTGCAGCCCAGGGTGTGATCCTGGGGACCCAGGATCGAGTCCCACATCAGGCTCCCTACATGGAGCCTGCTTCTTCCTCTGCCTGTGTCTCTCCCTCTCTCTATCATTCATGAATAAATAAATTAATTAAAAAAAAAAGAAAAATTAAAAGTGGAGAATGTGGAGGAAAGATCCATCCATACATATGATCACAGATTCTACAGATCTAAAGATCCTTAGATCTAAAGATCACAGATTCTAATTAATAACACATAGTGCTTTTTAAAAAGAAAATGTGGGTAATTTTTAAATACTTCTGACACAATGCAGGGATCTATTACATGGTTGTCCACTTTCGTTTTATATAAGATATACTTCTACATTTAAAATTTTGGAATGCCTAAACCCATGTACTTGGTTTTCCATGCAAATTTTTAAAAAATATTTTATTTATTTACTTATTTATTTGAGAGAGAAAGAGTGAGAGAACACAAGCAGGGGGAGTGGCAGAGGGAGAGGGAGAAGTAGGCTCCCCGCCGAGCAGGGAGCCCCATGTGGGGCTCCATCCCAGGACCTTGGGATCATGACCTGAACTGAAGGCAGACGCTTAACCAACTGAGCCACCCAGGCGCCCTCCATACATATTTTTAAATTCTGGAAACACGTCCAAAAAAAGCAGAAACCATAAAAAAGAAATTTCAGGGCAGCCGGGTGGCTCAGCAGTTTAGCACCGCCTTCGGCCCAGGGCATGATCCTGGAGACCCGGGATCGAGTCCCACGTCGGGCTCCCTGCATGGAGCCTGCTTCTCCCTCTGCCTGTGTCTCTGCCCCCACGCCCCCCCCCCCCCACTGGCCTCTCTCTATGGCTCTCAGGAATAAATAAAATCTTAAAAAAAAAAAAAAAAACAAACAGGGCAGCCAGAGTGGCTCAGCGGTTTGGTGCCACCTTCAGCCCAGGGCCTGGTCCTGGAGACCTGGTATCGAGTCCCGCGTCAGGCTCCCTGCATGGAGCCTGCTTCTACCTCTGCCTGTGTCTCTGTCTCTCATGAATGAATAAATAAAATCTTTTAAAAATAAAAAAATAAAAATAAAAAAACAACTTCATTACATAAAATGTTAAGTCTATCTACATATCGAAACAACTAAGTAGAGGCACCTGGATGGCTCAGTTGGTTAAGTGTCCAACTCTTGATTTCAGCTCAGGTCATGATCTCAGGACCATGATTGGCCTCATGCCAGGCTCCACACTCAGTGTGAAGTCGGCTTGAGATTCTCTCGCTCTGTCTCTGCCCCTCCCTGTGCTTGCGTGTGCACACTCTCACTCAAAAAAAAAAAAAAAAAAAACTTTAAAAATAAATATCCATTTTGGGATCCCTGGGTGGCTCAGCGGTTTGGCGCCTGCCTTTGGCGCAGGGCGCGATCCTGGAGACCCGGGATCGAATCCCACATCAGGCTTCCGGTGCATGGAGCCTGCTTCTCCCTCTGCCTGTGTCTCTGCCTCCTCTCTCTCTCTATGACTATCATAAATAAATAAAAATTAAAAAAAAATAAATAAATATCCATTTTATTTTATTATTTTTTTAAAGATTTTATTTATTTCAGAGAGAGATGGAAAGAGCAAGAGCAGGAGGAGGGGCAGAGACAGGACAAGCAGACTCCCTGCTCAGATCAACACAGGCTTGACCTGGGGACCTGGAGATCATGACCTTAGCAGAAGTCAGATGCTTAGCCAAATGAGCCACCAAAGCGTCCCTAAATATTCATTTGAAAATAACACAAAATAAACACTTACCCATGCGAATAAGTGAACATTCAGAACTTGAGCTAGCAGGTGGAGGACTAACATGATGTGTCAGTAATTCTTTGTAATGGCTTTCATCTAAAATAACATGGTATGTGCCTAATTAGATGAAAAGTAAAAGAAAAAAATCAGTTTTCCAGACATAAGTTTCAATTGTAATTTTTTTAAAAAAATATTTTAAGTAATCTCTATGCCCAACTTGGGGCTCAAACTCACAACCCCGAGATTGAATGTTGCACATTCTATCAACTCAGCCAGCCAAGCACACCTCAATTTTAGTTCTTAATTTAGTTCATAATTTTAGTTATGTTATTCTATAAAAGTTTTACCATCTGAAAATGTACATTTTCAAAATGAGTATTTAAGTTAAATTATCATTTTTTAAAAACATCCTTTAAATGACATCTCTAAATTGACTTCTCTGGGAATAACTATAATTACAATTGAATTAAAGCCAAGTTATTAGATCTTTACAAAGTATTACATATTAGTGACATTTCTAGTGTCTCAAACGTTATTAACGCATGCTCTAAACACTGAAATAACTACTGAAAAAAATCCATGCATTGTGAGACAATATCTTATAGAATCAGTGATACATTTAAGAGGACTATCCATATTATAGATTTTGGGACATGAAGTGACTTAAGTTTAGTACCTTAAAACAGATGAAAACATCCTAATTAATAAACTGCTACATCTTACATAGTAATTATGAATAAATACTGAAGAATCTAGATGTATACCGCCAGTTTCACGAGCAAGTACGGTGCAAACCCGAACCTCTGCAGATAATCCAATGACAGACACTCTAATTTTAGCTGCCTTGAGGGTCTTCATAAAATCCATGTAAGTGAAGGGTTTGTGGGCAGAAAAAAGACATGCAAAAATTAGTATGTTTGAGAAAATAATTTTCTGAAAACTAGTAATAAATTCACTACCGAATTCTCTTCAGAGCTATAAATCTGGTTTGGATTATAAAGAAATGTAGTGGTTCTACCTTGATTAGATCATAGATATTAGACGGATCACAAGTTGTGAGGCTGCTAAAGATGATTAGGACTTCTCTACTTGTATGTCCAGGCATGTGTCTATAGAAAGATAAAATATATTCCAATGAGGTATAACAAATTAATAAAAAATTTACCCAGAAAAACAGTACATGTGGTTTATATATTCAGACCACAGAATATCTCATTTGTTTTAATAATACAAAGGAATGAATTGAGTATCTCTAAATGTGCTAATATAAATTTTTCTAAAATAAGCTACAAAAAATATTGATTCATTTATTCTTTCCATAGATTCTTACCGAATACTCTTTTAGGTTCTGGGACTAGAATGTTAAGCAAGAATGAATAAGGTTCCTGACATTACCAAACTTACAAATTAGTAGATTCGTTTTGTATGAAGTCTAAAGTGTATACTGGAAAGGATAACAATATTGCACGATCAACTTTAAGGTGTGTCTTGACAATAGTAACGTACATCTTTTTTATAGGCTATAATTTAACCTCATGGTGATTCAGAGTCATAACATTCATAAACATTAGTGTTTGTGTATCATTCAATTATATGATAATTTATAAGACTTTAAGATGTGATGAACTGTTTTCTATGCTTTCTGGAGCAATTTTCAGTTGTTTACAGCTTTCCTGCTAATATCTGTATCGTTGGGCTCTCAGAATTCATTTGTGGATGCTGCTCTTGTGCCTACCTTTAATGTGGGTGCTATCTCCTTTTTGTCTACTTCAAAACTAGAAAAACGTCTGTTATATAAAGGTATAAAAATCAGGACACACACACACACAAAAAAAATCAGGACACACTATCCAGGGATAAAAATATATAAGCTAGCACTAACAGAATATTTCGGTCTTAGCTATATTCCACATATTTGAACTTGCTGGAAAAGTGTGCTATTGATTTGCAGAGGTACTACAAAATAAGTTAAAAGTCAATAAATCTACAACAAACTCAATTATTATATCACACTAAATTTCATATACAATGAATTTTTAACAAAATATTTTTTCAGGGGATCCCTGGGTGGCTCAGCAGTTTAGTGCCTGCCTTTGGCCCAGGGCGTGATCCTGGGGTCCCGGGATCGAGTCCCGTGTCAAGCTCCCGGCATGGAGCCTGCTTCTCCCTCCTCCTGTGTATCTGCCTCTCTCTCTCTTTCTCTCTCTCTCTCTCTATCATGAATAAATAAATAAATCTTTAAAAATATATATATATGTTTTTTCATCAACATTTTCTTTTGAACTAATATAGATACAGTTTTAATTATACTTTTCTAAAACCTTCAAATATCTTATTAACTCAGACATAAAATGAAAATTAGAAACCGACACCACACTAAACATCAGAAACATTACCTATTTCTCTTAAGTTTCATTACAGCTCAGTTTATGGAGACACCTATTAATACATTATCATCTCAATTCATTCAAAAAAATTTGACACCAATTACAAATAAAAAATGTAAAACACCAACTTTAGAGTTTGCATAGCCATGCTTAAGGAGTTATAGAGAGAAGGTTCTCCGTGGCAGGTCATATCTACAGCTTTCTTCAAAGATGTTATATGTTTCCTTGGATTTCCTAAAATAGAAATGGAATAATCTACTTATAATAACATTTTATATATACATTACAGAAATTTGTTTCTCCCCAAATTTACTTATCTATATGTTGTTAAAGAACAGAAATCTCTTCAATTTATGTTTTTAATAAGTTGCAATTTTATGCATACTGAAAGATAGAATAAAAATAATCTGTTTCTATGTACTAGCACACTTTTTATTTATTTATTTAATTTTTTTAAACAATCACTGTATGCCTTTCGTTCTTTTCATTTATTTTTTTATTATTTTTTAAGATTTTATTTATTTATTCATAGAGATGGAGAGAGAGAGAGAGAGAGAGAGGCAGAGACACAGGCAGAGGGAGAAGCAGGCTCCATGCAGAGAGCCTGACGTGGGACTCGATCCCGGGTCTCCAGGATCAGGCCCTGGGCTGCAGGTGGCGCTAAACTGCTGCGCCACCGGGGCTGCCCCACACTTTTTATTTTTAACTCATGAACCCGAAACCAAGAGTTGCACATTCTACTGACTGAGCCAGCTAGGTGCCCTATTAGCACATATTTTATTTTATTATTGTTATTATTATTTTTAAAGATTTCATTTATTTATTCATGAGAGACACAGAGAGAGAGAGAGAGAGAGAGAGGCAGAGGGAGAAGCAGGCTCCATGCAGGGAGCCCAATGCGGGACTCAATCCCAGGACTCCAGGATCACGCCCTGGGCCAAAGGCAGGCGCCAAATCGCCGAGCCACCCAGGGATCCCCGATATTTTAAATATTATTAAAGCACAAAACTTTTTCCTTTCCAGACTCATATACTTTCACATTTTAACATCTCTGAAATCACGCTGTATCTTACACTCTGGCAGCCAGGGAGCTGTTGTGACAGACATGGCTGTCCACTCACATGTGAACCTACAAATGGCCACTGAGGTCAGCTGTTCCAACTCCATAATGTACATTATTCGTGCTATTCATGTTTAGTTTAACTGCCATTTCAAGTGTGTCTACAGAAGGTTTTTACTACAAAAAGTTATATTTCGGGCAGCTGGGTGGCTCAGCGGTTTACCACCTTCGGCCCAGGGCCTGATCCTGGAGACCCAGGATCGAGTCCTACGTCGGGCTCCCTGCATGGAGCTGCTTCTCCCTCTGTCTGTGTCTCTGCCTCTCTCTCTCTGTGTGTCTTTCATGAATGAATAAATAAAAATCTTAAAAAAAAAAAGCTTATATTTCTATGTAGAAAAGTAAGAGGCAGAGCAGGGAGGTATAAATTTATTATTAGTGAAGCAAAAATTCACAGATAGAAGAATGACTGCAATTCCCTATTTTTCTTTGGGGGATTAAAAAAAGTATTAGAGGGGCACCTGGGTAGCTCAGTGGTTGAGCATCTGTCTTAGGCCCAGGCTGTGATCCTGGGGTCCTGGGATCGAGTCCCGTATCAGGCTCCCAGCAGGGAGCCTGCTTCTCCCTCTTTCTGTGTCTCTCCCTCTCTCTGTGTCACACTAATGAATAAATAAAATCTTAAAAAAAAAAAATCAGAAGACCTAAGAAAGGAAACTTTCCACAAATAAACACAGCTATGCTATCTTCTGTTACCAAAATAACATCTGAAAAGATTGTCTATCTCATACCAGGCAATATATTTTTTGTTGTGAACAATTTGTATATATCATCTGACACTGTACCATTTTTTTTTAAGATTTTATTTATTTATTCATGGGAGACGAGAGAGAGAGAGAGAGAGAGAGAGAGAGAGAGAGAGAGAGGCAGAGACACAGGCAGAGGGAGAAGCAGGCTCCATGCAGGGAGCCCAACATGGGACTCGATCCCTGGACTGCAGGATCACACCCTGAGCCCAAGGCAGGCGCTAAACCGCTGAGCCACCCGGGGTGCCCGACACTGTACCAATTTTAACTGCTACAGTGTTTCTTTCTTAATGGCTCATAAGATAAAGGTATCTTACAAATGATGGAATCTGAGATTCAGTGAAATCTGGTATTCTTCAGACATTTTCTATTTCAACACTGTCTCCATGTTAATAATGATAAACAAAATATCATTAAATTGATTTGATCACTAATTCATCAAACTACCTCCGTACTGTTGAACATTTCCCAATCTCTCACTACTGTACAAAGAGTGTATTTGTAGAATGAGAATTTTTCTTCTTTCATGTTTCTTAAGTATAAATTCCAAGGAACAACTATTTTTTTTTCTTTTCCAAAAAATGTAAGATAAATTAATCAATCTATCAGCATTATAAATACCAGTTTCTCCATGGATCCACAAGCAATACATTGCTTTTTAAACTTCATTTTGTGCATTTAAAATATATAAAACAATAAACTGTTGAGCAATCCCCTGTTTCTGTTTTTATCCTGGTATGAATTATATGTCTTTGTCTATTCATCTACTTGGAGCTTCTTCATGTTCTTATTTATCTGAGAGAGTTTTAAAATACTAATAAGGGGATCCCTGGGTGGCGCCGTGGTTTGGCGCCTGCCTTTGGCCCAGGGTGCGATCCTGGAGACCCGGGATCGAATCCCATGTCAGGCTCCCCGTGCATGGAGCCTGCTTCTCCCTCTGCCTGTGTCTCTGCCTCTCTCTCTCTCTCTCTCTCTCTCTCTCTCTCTCTCCCTGTGTGACTATCATAAATAAATAAAAATTAAAAAATAAATAAATAAAATACTAATAAGCATTTGCCATTATTTAATACACACTTTAAGTATTTATTCTTGGAATCATAAAATTTTAGAAATGAAAAGTACCTCAGCAAGTCCAAATCCCTCATTTCATAAGTGAGAAATGATTCTAACAAGTTAAAGATTTGCCTAAAGACAAACACCAACCATTGGCAAGATCAGCACTTAAACCTAAGTCTCTTGGCTCTCTATCTACTAGTTTTCTTTCTACTGTACCATACAAACTATCTTGTTCCTCTCCTATTGTATTGTAAGTCCGGGAAGTCCGGGAAAAAAACATACTATGTTATTATCGGTGTGGTTTACAGCAGTGATTCTATCAGAGAGATAAAGGGTGCCATCAAGAGGCCTATCAGAATACCCAGAGGATTTTGCATCCCTCTACATAGGACTTCCTTGGCATCCAGAAAAAACTACTCTGAATGTGGGAAGGGTTCAGGAGGGTTGGCCATACATCCCTTCCTTAGGGAAACCATCCTTTCCTCACAGTATCATAATCCTGCTGCTTACACTGCTTCCTTCCTGCTGCAGGTACAGGCAAATAATCCAGGCCCACCAACAAAATACTTCTTTCCTCTGGCCACTTTGCTTAACGATGGGCAGATCATAAGCAGGGCCATTCAGAGACCTGTGGGGCCTGTGCTGAAGCTAAGGACTACAAGGGTAATGTGGACATGGGGCTGATAACAGACTTCTTTTTACCTCAGAAAATATTCAGAGAATGAAGCCAAACAGCCAAGAACCCCGGAAAAGACTATGGGTGAACTCAGCCCTCCTTCAGAGATGAGCCAATCATTTCCCTTATGTGTTTAAGCTAGTGTGAGGGATCCCTGGGTGGCGCAGCGGTTTAGCGCCTGCCTTTGGCCCAGGGCGCGATCCTGGAGACCCGGGATCGAATCCCACGTCGGGCTCCCGGTGCATGGAGCCTGCTTCTCCCTCTGCCTGTGTCTCTGCCTCTCTCTCTCTGTGTGTGACTATCATAAATAAATAAAATTTTTTAAAAAATTTTAAAAAGATAAAGCTAGTGTGATTTTTTTTTTTTTTTTTGGTTATTCACAACTGAATTTCTTGAACACTGCAGCCTAACATACATATCAGTCCTTACTAACATCGTGAACAACCATTACTGACGAATATGTCATTTCGCACTAATCTGTACTGGTGAGGATGAAAGGATGAGAACTGCATTTAAGGGATAGTGTATTTCACAGAAACTAAAATAGAATTAGTCATGTGAACTTATTACAGCACATATACCAAAGCAAATAAAATCTGCACTATCTTTTAAGAGAATAAAATTCAATTAGGCATGTCATGCCAACAGAAAAACTGAATTATTAACAATAACTGCAATTCAATTTTTAAACCCTTTGCTCTTTAGAGATTTGATTTTTAATACATTAATTTTAAGACTAAGTGTATTTTGGGAATGGTTAAAATAATTTTATCTTAATACCTTCAGGATAAGAATGTGTAAGTCATAAACATTTACATTCACTGCAGTAGTGTTCATTACTGTACAGAACTCAATTTAAAGCAGTTCATCTTAGATACCAAGAATTTAATGGAGGATATAATGGAGAGGTTATTAAGTTTCACATGGAAAGCATAAAAGAAGTCTTCATTTTACTTATTAGGCAACCTTATGAACAGGGTTACAAGGTTGGATAAATAGAGCCGAGTCCTTGAGTCCTATAAAGGTAATTTTATGCATACCTGAGAGTTCGGTCAGTTTTTCAGCTCTTTTACTCTTTGTTACAATTATTCCAATCTCAAAATAAAAACAAAAATAAATTAGTTAATTATAAAAGGCATAAGTAACATGTAAGAAACTTTTTCTCATGATGTCTTTGACAGAAATTTAACTAGGAGTTCACTGTACATTATTTAACTTAGAGTTGCCTTGCTTTTCATTGATAAATATACCAGAAACTGGTACACAATACGGATCACTTAAAATAATTCATAGAATGTATGCCCACCATTTTAAAAATAAATATAACAGTAATATCAGAAATCTAATTCTGAATTCCATCGCTTATCTACATACCTGGCTAATAGGATTTTGATCAAAATATTCTTCTACGAAGTATTCCAACAACTGTTTAAAGAAAGCAAAAATACTAGATAAGGGCAAAATAATAACCATACAGAACATGTTTTATGAAACCTATTTATCACTTATCATGATTTTTAGGCTTAGAGATTTTCAAATGTTTAGTAAAAATATTAAATAAAAAATAAATTTGAAAATATTCAAATAAATAAAAATCACAATATTAAATAAGCCTGAATATAAAATGGTAAGCTATGAACTGGGTTTAAAAGATGGAACCGGGTGGATCCCTGGGTGGCTCAGCAGTTTAGCGCCTGCCTTTGGCCCGGGCGTGATCCTGGAGACCTGGGATCGAGTCCCACATCGGGCTCCCTTTGAGAAGCCTGCTTCTCCCTCTACCTGTGTCTCTGCCTCTCTCTCTCTGTCTCTCATGAATAAATAAATAAAATCTTAAAAAAAAAAAAAAAGATAAAAGATGGAACCGGGGCACCTGGATGGCTCAGGTGGTTAAGTGTCTGACTCTTGATTTCATTTCAGGTGGTGATCGCAGGGTCATGAGACTGAGCCCCAAGTCAGGTTCTGTGTTGGGTGGGGGTCTGCTGGAGATGCTGTCTGCCCCTCCTTGACTCTCTTACTAGCTTTCTCTCAAATCTTCAAAGAAATAAAAAGATAAGTAAAAGATGGAACCATTTGGACATGAGACAGAAATAATCTACACATAGAAAGATCTGGGACACCTGGGGGCTCAGTGGTTGAGCATCCACCTTCAGCTCAGGTTGTGTTCCCAGGGTCCTGGGATCGAGTCCCACATCGGGCTTCCTGCATGGAGCCTGCCTCTCCCTCTGCCTGTGTCTCTGCCTCTCTCTCTCTCTCATCAATCAATCAGTCTAAATAAACATGGAAAGATCCAATGAAGCCAGAAACAAGAATGAGGAGAAGTGAGGATGGGTTTTGATAAATTAGGAATAATTTGAATGTGTTTATTAATTAGGGGACTGAGGGATCCCTGGGTGGCGCAGTGGTTTAGCGCCTGCCTTTGGCCCAGGGCGTGATCCTGGAGACCCGGGATCGAATCCCACGTCGGGCTCCCGGTGCATGGAGCCTGCTTCTCCCTCTGCCTGTGTCTCTGCCTCTCTCTCTCTCTCACTGTGTGCCTATCATAAATAAATAAAATTAAATTAAATTTAAAAAAAAATTAGGGGACTGATTTGAGTAAATCCAAACACAATGAAAAGGGATAACCATGTGACAAAGCAAGACCCTGACTAGGCTGGGAGGACAGAAATTAAGAGCATAAATAGGGATGCCTGGGTGGCTCAGCGGTTGAGCGTCTGTCTGCCTTTGGCTCAGGGTGTGATCCTGGGGTTCCAGAATGGAGTCCTGCATCAGGCTCCCCGCATGGAGCCTGCTTCTCCCTCTGCCTGTGTCTCTGCCTCTCTCTGTGTGTTTCTCATGAATAAATGAATAAAATCTTAAAAAAAAGAGAGAAACAAATTACTTTATTAAATTTTTTAATTTTTATTTATTTATGATAGAGAGAGAGAAAGAGAGAGAGGCAGAGACATAGGCAGAGGGAGAAGCAGGCTCCATGTACCGGGAGCCCGATGTGGGATTCGATCCCGGGTCTCCAGGATCGCGCCCTGGGCCAAAGGCAGGCGCCAAACCGCTGCGCCACTCAGGGATCCCCACAAATTACTTTAAAGAAAAAAGAGCATAAATAGCCTTTTGTTGTATCATTTTCCTAAATAATGTGGTTAAACACCTACTTAGCTCTAGTTTGTATTAACTCAAAAAAATGCATTCTGTAAAAACATTTCTTCATGGGAAGGTATAGGGAGGAGGGGAGATAGAAAAAAAGAACTATGGCCAGTCCTCGGGCGCTCCAGCATGCTAAAATTGCAGAGAGGAGCCTGAGATGAAAATAAAAGAGACTCCATGTAACCAAAGTCAGAAGAAGGATGGTGGCGTGCTGGGTAGCTCAGTACTTAGACTGCGTGAATCCTGATCTGGGTTGTGAGCTCCAGCCCCACAGCACCAGTAAGATTACTTAAAAAAAGGGATCCCTGGGTGGCGCAGCGGCTTAGCGCCTGCCTTTGGCCCAGGGCGCGATCCTGGAGACCCGGGATCGAATCCCACGTCGGGCTCCCAGTGCATGGAGCCTGCTTCTCCCTCTGCCTATATCTCTGCCTCTCTCTCTGTGTGACTATCATAAATAAATAAAAGAAAATTAAAATTAAAAAAAAGATTACTTAAAAAAGAACAAAAACAAAAACAGACAAAAAACAAAAGAAAGGTCCCTTTCGGGAAGGTAGGAGCGGTCAACTACTTGCTGCTAAAGATAAAAAGGAGTTGAATTTCACATTCTGGAGGTTATGGTGGACCTTGAAAAAGTAGTTGTGAAGATAACACTCCAATTGGAGTGTGTTAAAGAGAGAATGCTCTGTCATTCAACTGTGGAGAATTGATCAAAACTGCAATAAACACACACATTTACCAAGAGAGAACATAAAGCACAAATCTAACCTAGTAAATTTTAAAAACTTGTGTATAAGAGCAGCAGCAGAGGAATCTGGAGCAGAATGGAGTGCGGGAGTAGGACCCAGCTTCTACCTCACCCTATTCCCACGAAGCCCCATTCCTCACTGAAAAAAGTTCCAAGAAATCTCGCTAATACTCTTACTTTGGGAGAGAAGTGAAGAGAGAGAGTATATCTTATCTTTTTCTTCTTCTGCCAGGAGTTATGAATGAATAAGGAAAGAAATCAGGAACTAACATTCCTTGTCAGAAGGGAAGAATCCAAGCTTCACACTTAATTTTTTTTTTAAGATTTTATTTATTTATTCATGAGAGAGAGAGAGAGAGAGAGAGAGAGAGAGGCATGCAGAGACACAGGCGGAGGAAGAAGCAGGCTCCTCGAAGGGAGCCAGACGTGGGACTCGATCCCGGGTCTCCAGGATCCGCCCTGGGCTGAAGGCAGGTGCTCAACCACTAAGCACCTGTGAAGCAGGTGCCTCATGCTTGATACTTAATTAATGGAAAGAGTTCAAAGTCTGGGACTATGTCCTCATGGAAATGCATCATATCCTCCCTCCCTGGCCCAGTTAGTGAAACGAGACACAGACCAGTCAATAGAGTGTCAGAAGATAAAATGGAGCTCTGTAAGTTCAATGGAGTCTGCACGCCACCCATGCTGAGCTTCCCCCCTTTGGTGCACACCAAGTCATCCCAGCTGCTATTCTCTTAGGTCACAGAAAAGTGGATTAAACACAAGTACCCAGGCTAAAATCAAGCTTTAGAAGGGAAAACATGATCCACACAAAAACCTGTTCATGAATACTCACAGCAGCATTACTCATTATGGCCCCCAAAAGTAGAAACAACCCAAAGTTGTATACAGTGGAATACTGTTTGGCAAAATTACAGAAAGTTTGTTATAGTTTTTTCTTTTTCTTTATAGTTTTATTTATCTAAGTAATCTCTAAACCCAACATGGGGCTCGAACTCACGACCCTGAGATCAAGAGTCACTCACGCTGCTGACTGAGCCCGGCAGGACCCCCTGCATTTTCTTTTTGTAATGATAAAAATGCTCTAAAATTGATTGTGGCAATAATGTTGCACAACTCTGTAATATGAAAGAAATCTTAACAGTACGCTTTAAATAAATTAATTTTATGGTAGGTGAATTGTATCTTAATAAAGATGTTACAGTAAAATAAACTTCTTTTAGAATTCAGTGTCTTTTCTCACATTTAGTATAAATTAAAATCATTTTACTATACCTTTAGGGTACAAGTCAATCTATTTGGCTTTAAATCTTGGTCTTCCATTGTTCTTGATCCATCGACTACCACATAAAGATGACGCATCTACCAAAAATAAACCACAAATAAGGACAATTTTCAAATACACTTTTGACCAGAAAGTAAAAATGGCATTTATTACTTACATATTCTAGACACATATTTTTAATATATTCTTTGAAAATGTTTGTTGTCTTACTAACATTAATTCTGTCAAGACAGAATGTTTCTCTAACCCAACTAGTTCTGTACTGGTAAAGAAAAAAAATATCAACATACCATTCCAAGCCGAACTTGTCCATGGTGCTCAAATACTCTGTTAAAATTATGCAAACATTTTAATGGAAGGTCCTCTATTACCCAAAAAACTAATGTAACTTTTCAACTAACCTGCATTGTTTAGTGAAGTAAATTAACTTATGGGATCCACATAATTACAGGCATTTTGGATAGTCCCTGAAGACCCATTTCCCTTTTGAGGTGCTAGGCTGCTGGTCCCTTCCCCTAATTCAAGAGTTTAAAGGTCAGTTTCCCTGGAACACAGCTGAAATGAAGTACTTAGGAGTGTGTATAGGTGGACAGAAAGCCTTAAAAGAATAATTTATGGGGATCCCTGGGTGGCTCAGCGGTTTAGCACCTGCCATCAGCCAACGGCACAATCCTAGAGTCCCGGGATCGAGTTCCGCATCAGGCTCCCTGCATGGAGCCTGCTTCTCCCTCTGCCTGTGTCTCTGCCTCTCTCTCTCTCTCTCTCTCTCAATCTCTCTCTTTCTCTGTGTCTATCATGAATAAATAAAATCTTTAAAAATAATAATAATAATTTACTTTTTGTAACACACTTAAAAAAGTTTATATACCTTTTTCTCTTTGCTTTGAAGAGAATGTCTTCTATTGTAGCTTTCAATGATCCTGACTCATCTTCTTTAAGAATCTCCCTGTAAGCAATAATTTGTTTGAAAATCCAGAAATGTATTAACTCAAGAGAAATGAAAACAGAAGTCCCCACAGAGATAGGCACCTGAATGTTCACAGCTATGTTATTCGTAAAAGCCCAAAGTTGTAATCAATCTAAATGTCTATCAACCGGTGAGTGGATGAATGAAAACATGATATACAATATAATGTTATTCAGCAATAAAAAGGAATGCATTACTGATCCCTGCTACGGCTTGGATGAACCTTGAAAATACTGTTATGTGAAAGAAGCCAGACATAAATGGTCACATATTACATGATTACATTTACATGAAACATCTAAAAAAGGCAAATTCATAGAGACAAAAAATAGATTAGCTGTCTACAGCTGGAGGTAGGAATGAAATTGATCGCAAATGGGTATAAAGGATCTTAATGGGGTGGTAAAAATTTTCTAGAAATGGTTTATGGTGATGATTGCACAATTTAGTAAATTTTCTAAAAATCAATGACTTATAAATGGAAACAGGTAAATTTTAATATGTCTTAAATATATTTTAATGAATTTATTTAAAAGAACCAATGACTGAAAGAGAAAAGATAAAGGTGTAGAACAACAAGAAACAATGTGTAAAAGAGAAGAGGGTAATAATGCCCTACTCACCATGTCCTTTCATAGCCTCCTTCCCATCGCTTAGTTCTTTCTGGTTCTTCATCCATTTTTTCTTAAATGTATTATTCAATATCCTGTAAAAATCATTAGACTATGGGTTTACTACAAATACTTGTCACCAAATTCATACTTTTCAATGTGAAAAGACGGAAGCAAAGTAAAAAACAAACAGAATGTAAGGTCATCTAATTCTTTGCAATTTATTCAATAATTGTTGAATGAAAATACTTTACAAAATCCTTATGGAACTTTTTTTCCCATTCCTAAAAAATCTATATGAACATTCACACACAAGTTGGGCATCGAGAGATAAACATCTTTTTACGATTTTTATAATTTATTTAAAAAAAAGATTTTATTTATTTATGATAGACATAGAGAGAGAGAGGCAGAGAAGCAGGCAGAGGGAGAAGCAGGCTCCATGCTGGGAGCCCAACGCGGGACTCAATCCCGAGACTCCAGGACCATGCCCCAGGCCAAAGGCAGGCACCAAACTGCTGAGCCACCCAGGGATCCCCTCTTTTTACAATTTTTAAAAACAAAAATGCATTATAGTCATAGGACAAGACCACAGAATTGCGGGAAGTGGTGAAGATATAGATGAAACAAGATTAGCTACAAGTGATGGTTACTATAGCTGAGTGATGGGACTCATGGTGACTCACTGTACCGTCCACCTTTGTGTATGTGTGAATTTTCTCATCATCAAAAAAAATTTTTAAGTAAGCTCTATGCCCAATGTGGAGCTCAAACTGATAACTCTGAGACCAACAGTCACATGCTCTATGACTGAGCTTGGTGCCCCATGAAAATCATGAGTTTTAAAAGGAAATTTATTATTTATAAATGGTAAATGCTTATAGCTAATAATTCAAACAATATTCAACATACATTATGAACTCAACTATTTAAAAAGGAAATGTTCAGTAATTCAATACATAGGACATGGTTTCAGCTAGATGAAGGGTGACTGGTTTATTGCTTCTTTATTACTTTCTGTATTTTTGTATTTTTCATATGAACATGTATTTCTTTAACAATCAGGGATAAAACTGGTGGTGGGGAACTCTATTAACCATAGCCAAGTAATAAACATCCCAGTCACATCCACACTTCCATCTTCCTAAATGGAATCTCCCTCCCCACCCTACGCTCTTCTTTCAGCTTCCTTCTTCCATAAATGAAGGATCAAAGGAATCCTAAGGGCCAAGAAGACATTAAGGACAAAACAAATCCCATCACTGACATGAGCAAAAATTAATTTCTGTAATAACGACCATAAGCAAGACCTTACTCTCCACTTACATCATGGTTTCTATAGAAAAATACATTTTAGAGCACCTGGATGGCTCAGTCAGTTAAGTATCTGCCTTTAGCTCAGGTCATGATCCCAAGATCCTGGGATCAAGCCCCACATCCGGCTCCCTGCTCAACAGAGGGTCTCCATCTCCCTCTCTCTCTGACCCTCCCCCTTGCTCATGCTTGGCCTCATCCTCCCTCTCTCAAAATAAGTAAAATCTTTTAAAATTTTTTTAAAAAAGAAAAATACATTTTAAAATCTAAAGAACTGACCTATTAATGGACTTCCGTAATAGAAATCTACTGACAAGTTGGAGACTGCTTTTACGGCATCCCTGCTTTCTGCGGCACGTGCTAAAATCAGGTATTACTTGCTAAAGTCCCATTATATCTCTCAACGGATTGACAAATCATTTCCTGGCACTGAAAGAGATCTATTCACTCCAGGAATTCTGGTGAGTTACTTTAGTATATTCTTTGGTAGACCGTCTGAAATGATGACAAGTGACTTAATCACAAAATTTGTGTTATTTCAACACACTGTGCTGGTGCTTGTAAGTTTGATGATGAACGTGGTAACAGCAAATAGTGATTGAATTGAACATTTTTTTTTAAAGATTTTATTTATTCACGAGTGACACAGAGAGAGAGGCAGAGACACAGGCAGAGGGAGAAGCAGGCTCCATGCTGGGAGCCCAATGCGGGACTCGATTCCAGGTCTCCAGGATCAGGCCCTGGGCTGAAGGCAGTGCTAAACTGCTGAGCCACCCGGGCTGCCCCTAAATTGATCATTTTGACCCTCCATACAGATTTTGCATTTATCGTGAATTATAAAAAGGACATACCTTACACAGTGTTCTTGATGCTTTTTAGACTCAAATCCTTAGAAAGTCACTACTGCCACCCCATCATACCAATATTCAAACTGTTTTATTTATCTATTTATTTATTTATTTATTTATTTATTTATTTTCAAACTGTTATTTTATTCTTAGTTTATTGCTCTTAATTTTCTGAAAGTCCATCAACCCAGTGAGAACCGATGAGCAGAAACTGCAAAGAGGAAGACTCCTGGCTCGCTCACAGATGCATCCAAGGACTTCCGAGTTAGAGCTGCCTGCAATGAATGGGAAACCACAGGGATAAGGACCCAGGTACTGAGCTCCCAGAAGTGCCGATGTTCCAAGGGAAGCTGGAAGAAAGGTAACCCTCCTGGGGAAAGATGACCTTGGTGACCTGAAGCCCTCATCTCCTCCGAGAGCTGCTCCTTTTCCCGGGGCTCCGGCCCCCAGCGCAAGCCTAGGAGCAGCCCTACCTGGAGCAGCCCCACCTGGAGCAGCCCCTACCTAGGTGTAGTCGCCTCCGAGGGCTCAGGACGCTGCTGCAAGCCAACCACACCTGCAGCAACGCCGCCGGCCGCCAAGCGCGCACTCCGGCCCCGCCCGGCCGCGCCCTGCTGCGCATGCGCACGATCCCTGTTGCCCCACCTGGAACCGAGGCTCAAGAGGCAGCTTCACGGCGTCGCGGTCACACTCGAACCCAGGACCACAGCTCCCCAAGCTGGAGCTCGGCTCTGGGAGGGGAGAGCCGTTCCCCGGGCGGCCGCGCCAGGTGCTTCTCCGCAGCCGCCGACGGAAGCTGCCGCCCGCCGCCCCGCCGCCCGCTCCCTCGCGCCCTCAACCCGCACTCCAGTAGCGCCGCTCAGCCCCCGCCCCGCGCTCCCGCGACCGCGGCCCCCACCTCCGCTCCGCCGGCAGCTCCCGCCGCGGCACTGCCGCTCCCGGAGGCCGCCGCTCTGCCGGAAGTCCCGCCCAGGCCGCCCCGGGGACGCCGCGGAAGTCCTCCCCCCGCGCGCCGCGGCGGCGCAGGAACGTTCCGGCGGCCGCGAGCGTGGGCCGCGGGGGCGGGGCGCGCAGGGGGCCGAGCATCCCCCGGCCAGGTTAAGGACCACCTGTCCCGCCTCCTGCCCGCGGGGAGCGTGGGCTCCCCGGGATCTGAGGACCTTGGTGTTTGTGTATTCTTCCTAAAACGTCGGCGTGGAGGCCTCCGGCCGCGGCGGCGACCCTCTGACCCTCGGCCAGACCCTCGCCGCGCAGCGCCTCCCTCGGGGCTCCTCCGCTGCCCCTGCTCCTGCTCCTGCTCCTGCAGGTGTTTTTGGGTTTTGTTTTGTTTTGTTGTTTTGTTTTGTGGGTGCACCGGGAACGCGGTGCCCGGAGAGGGGCGTCTGTATTCCCGGGTCTCGGTGCAGGATCACTGGGCCACGCGGCCGCCTCCTTAGGGACCTGCCGGGCCGTGGTCCTTGAAACGTGGCCAAGGGTTTCGCGGCATAGTTTTTAGTTCAATTTAAGAATCAAAATATATGGGATCCCTGGGTGGCGCAGCTGTTTGGCGCCTGCCTTTGGCCCAGGGCGCGATCCTGGAGACTCGGGATCGAGTCCCGCGTCGGGCTCCCGGTGCATGGAGCCTGCTTCTCCCTCTGCCTGTGTCTCTGCTTCTCCCTCTGCCTGTGTCTCTGCCTCTCTCTCTCTCTGTGTGTGACTATCATAAATAAATAAAAATTAAAAAAAAAGAATCAAAATATATGATGCAATTAGGCGCTATGAGTTCAGATTAGGTATTTCGATTCCCCTCATGGTCCTGTTCCTTCGCGGGGGGAGATGACAGCTGGGAGCGCCGCGCGAGCTGCCCCGGCCCGCAGCCCAGGCCCTGCGGCCGCCCCCGGGGACAGGTGCCGTCCGCCCCTCGGAAACCCAGGTCGGCGCCAACGCCCGAGATCCAGGCACCTGCCGCTGCCCAGGCCCTTGATTGCTGCTTCCCTAGGCTGGCTGCTTTGGGAATTCCTGGCATTCCTGTGTCCCCAGGGCCCAGTGCATGTGGCCGGGGTCTTGTTGCCGGTCCCCTCCTCAGGGGCGGGGCGGGCGGTCGAGGGAGCTGGGCCACGCCTCTACCCTGGGTCACGGCGGGCTAGGTAGGGCTGCTCCAGGTAGGGCTGCTCCTAGGTAAGGCTGCTCCAGGTAGGGCTGCTCCCAGGTAGAGCTGCTCCAGGTAGGGCTGCTCCTAGGTAAGGCTGCTCCTAGGTAGGGCTGCTCCAGGTAGAGCTGCTCCTAGGTAGGGCTGCTCCTAGGTAAGGCTGCTCCTAGGTAGAGCTGCTCCCAGGTAGGGCTGCTCCTAGGTAGGGCTGCTCTGGGCTGGAACTGTAAGGAAGAAAAAAAAAAAAAAAAGAGCCCCAGCTTCAGGCCTGATCCAGTTCCACGCACTGAGTACACAGCACTTAGAAGCTAATCCTTGCCTTCGTGGAATCCTTCTGCCATGAAGATGTTCATGGAGGAAAACGTCCTGCGCCAAGTGTTAGCGCCAGGAGAGAAGAGCGGAGCATAGAAGGGCCAAGGTCCCAGCCTAGAGGAAGGTAGTGGGAGGAGGCCTCACCGGGAGGGCAGGTGCACCACAACCCCACGGAGGAAGGTCATCAGCCCTTCTGACCCCTAGGGCAGGAGCTCCCAGGCAGAGGAAGCCGCAGGAGCTCAGGCCCTGGGCTGCACACGCAGGGACGTGCTTCTGGGACTGCTTGAGAAGACGGGTGGGGTGATGGCTGCTGAAATGGGTGGGGGGCGGGGGGGGGAGGCTCTGAAGGGTGTAACAACGTCGGAGGGAGGATGGTGGTTGGGACCAGGGTAGTAGGGCAGGGCAGCCGGGGAGGAGGGTGGATCCCAGATCCGGTCAGTGGGCCAGATGCCTGTGAGGGAAAAGGATCCAAGACCCAGAAGCTTTCAGTGGAGCAACGGAAAGGTTAGAGCTGCACCTTCGAGAGGCTGAGGCAGGGTAAGAGGGGCTCAGTGTGGGGCAGGTTGGAGATGCTTGAGACCCCGACAGATCAGGAATTGCTCCTGTGTGTGCAAAGTGCAGTGCCTTAAAATAGGCTCTACTGATGTCAGCCTCGGTGGCTGGCTGAGGCGACCTCAAGGAGAAGCCAAAAACAAGAAGTGGAAAACCAGTCAGAGGCCCGCGGGCAATATTTTTGAACAAATACGACAGAAACCTAATGGATTCAGATGACCTAAGGGATTTTCCACCTGTCTACATGGGAATGCATGAGGCTGAATTTTTACAGACTGATTATACCGCGTGACACATAATTGTATATCCGAGAACTGCTTGCAAGCACGTGTACCTGTTGCTACCTGTCACCCCATTTTTGTGTATCTAATCCCTGTGAAGCTAACTTTCAGAGCAGCTTGGAGCAGTATGAAATACTGTTTCCAGTAAGACAATAAATAATGCATTTACTAACCTACTTTGAAGTTGGGGTTCTTTTGGGGGGGGGTGTTTTGGTTTTTTGCAGATACACTAGCATTTCCCACACTTGAGAAATGGACAGGCAAAGTGCATCCAGAGCATCAGGAAAAGGTTACATCTAGGAGAGGAAGGGCAAGAACTGGATCTTCTTTACTTCCCCATCAGCAAAGGCTCCCCCTGTGTTGCCTTTATTGCTTTGTTGGTGCCAACATCTTCGTTTTCTGCTCCCTTCAAAAACATAAACACAAGCCATGCTGCCTAACACTGGAAAGAACAGACCTGGGTTTTTTTTTTTTAAGATTTTATTTATTTATTCATAGAGACACGGAGAGAATGAGAGGCAGAGACACAGGCAGAGGGAGAAGCAGGCTCCACACAGAGAGCCCAACGTGGGACTCAATCCAGGGTCTCCAGGATCACGCCCTGGGCTGCAGGTAGCGCTAAACCGCTGCGCCACCGGGGCTGCCCCAGACCTGGGTTTAAAATCAGGCCTTAGAAAAAATAAAAAATAAAATAAAATCAGGCCTTGCCACACTAGCTGGGTGACCACAAGCAAGTTCCATGTACAATATGGGGATGCCTTCACCTACCCTACAGGGCTTGCACATTACATAGTGGCGACCCTGTTAGCAGCTAGTTTTCCTCCCCCACCCCAAGACAAAGGCCTTAGTATTTTCCGTGTTGTCCTTCAAAAGGAGAGTAATTGGGACACCTGGGTGACTCAGCGATTTGGTGCCTGCCTTCAGCCCAGGGCGTGTTCCTGGAGTCCTGGGATCGAGTCCCGCATCGGGCTCCCTACATGGAGCCTGCTTCTCCCTCTGCCTGTTTCTCTGCCTCTTTCTCCGTGTCTCTCATGAATAAACTCTTAAAAAAAAAAAAAGAAGAAGAGAAATTGGCATTGCTGATTCTTTCCCAATGCCAGTCATCTTTCATTTTTGCCTCCCCTACACCTTTGACTCTTCACAGGACTCACATTTTCTCCTTACCTGTTCTACTTTCCTGCTATCCTCCCTTTCTTCCACAAACTCTTTTTCCTTTTTCTTTTCCTCCATTCTGGTTGGCCATCCTGTTCCAAGACAGGATGCATTGCCATGGGACAGCTGGCTACAACCCCAAGCCCCAAGTATGTATCTTGTGTATCTTCACTATCCATCAGTCTGGGAAGGCTTTTTTTAATTAAACATTTTATTTTTATTTTATGTAGGCTCCACACCCAATGTGGGGCTTGAACTCAGGACCCAGAGATCAAAAGTTCCATGTTATACGGACTGAGCCAGCCAGGCACCCCGAGGGAAGGCCTTTTTTTCTTTTTAATGAAAAACCAGGGAAAGGACAGCAGTCCCCAGTAAAGTGTATTTGTGGAGGCTGAATTGTTCAAACTCACAACTGTGAAGTTCACTCTCCTCTGTATAGATTTTAGTCATAGATCTTAATTAAGAGTGGCAACAAAGCAAAACATGCGTAACTCCATGGTAATCCCTTGCCATGACTAAGCCTGCCACATTACTCTAATTGTGTACAAATTGGTAGAAGAAATGGATCAAACCAAGCCCAATGTTTTAACTAGTAGAACTAAGGGACAACTGTGAAAAATGAATGGAACTGTGTGCTCTTTGCCCGTAGGTATCTGGACACAGTCCCCAGGGTTAATAAATTGATGAAAAACTCAGCCAGTGTTGCTAAACTGGAATTCAGGGGGCACAACTTTGGAGACTGGGAGAGACGAACCCGCCTATTCCAATACCTTTAGATGAAACCTCAATCACTGCAGAGACTCACTGAAAACCTCCACCATTGCTCTTAACAGCATAGAATAATCCTTATTTTGATATGTCAAGCACTTGTTCATCGTCTCTCAAGTCAACGGTGCCAAACCTAAAATTAAAAAAAAAAAGGGGGGATCCCTGGGTGGTGCAGCGGTTTGGTGCCTGCCTTTGGCCCAGGGCGCGATCCTGGAGACCTGGGATAGAATTCCACGTCAGGCTCCCGGTGCATGGAGCCTGCTTCTCCCTCTGCCTGTGTCTCTGCCTCTCTCTCTGTGACTATCATAAAAAACTAAAAAAAATAAAGATTATTAAAAAGAAAAAAGACAAAAACCTAGAATTTACCCTAAACACTGCACCCAGCACAGACCAAGGACTGGGATGATACATAGACTCTTAAAACATAATTTGCTTTTTAAAAGCTTTTTCGAGTCTCGACATTCCAGCTTTGGGCAAGAGGCGTAACTGGCCACGTCTATTACTTTCTGACGAGGACTATTGTCCTAAGTTCTACATTAACTACCTTCAAAACAACTACGATACAAGTAGCTCCCACACAAATAAGTGAACTGCCAGATTTAGCAATCTGTCCAAGGTCACGCGGCAAGTACCTGCCACAGGGCAAAGCAAGAGCAGGACAGCACATGCAGGGAAAAGCCAGCAGGTCCTGGGGCAGCAACTAGAAGTCTTGGGGGGGGCGGGGGACACACATACACTCTGTGGTAGTCCTGCTCCCCCTCGCACCCCTGCAAATCATGGTTCCATGCTTTTCTCTAACTGCAAAATGGCACTCTTAACAGTGCTATCTAAAAACCACCCACACAGAAAAAATTTTTTTAAATAAAAATAAAATAAAATAAAAACTACCCAGGTTAGGGATGTGTGGGTGGCTCAGCAGTTGGGCGTCTGCATTTGGTTTGGGGGTGGGATCCCAGGGTCCCTGCAGGGAGCCTACTTCTCCCTCTGCCTGGATCTCTGCCACTCTGTGTCTTTAATGAATACAATCTTAAAAAAAAAAAAAACTACCCAGGTTACTTCGGCATTTTTCTTCATAAAAACTGTTCCCATTAAAGGACATGAACAATAGGAAATGTAGGAGAGATTCATCTATCCTTTCACAGAAGAGAAGTCACATTAGTGCAGAACCACAGGCTGCCAGGAGATTGGATCTCAATCCCGATTTCTCCAGCTGAGCCTTTAGAAACGTCCAGATGAGATACATCATATCTCAGTGATGAGGCAGAGAGGATGTCTCTGTGTCAGGAACTCTGAAAGCAACTGACAGCTGGAAAACCACAAATGGAGAACTCTTCTTTTGCTCCTACCCTTCTGTGCACACGCACACTCGTTCAGGTCTTTACATATACTTTCAGTATTTCATATGAAGCATTTTACATCAATTAAATGTACTTAAAATATGGTATTTTATTAATACCAGACAGAGCAATCCCGTCTTACTTATTAACCCATAAATTTATTGATAGTCAACCTAGAGTGGGAGTACAGAATCTAATATTCCAACAGACCAAGATCCCAATCCTACTTTAATCATTTGCTAACTGTGTGACAGACCAGTTCATCTAGCACATCCTCAGTTTTCCTGTTAAATGAACATGAGAAATGATTACATCTCAACAGAATGTGCTAAGGATTAAATAATTTCATATAAGTGTGTGTATACAATGTAACTTTTGCTATAAATAGACTTAAATCTATTTCCAAAAACACAAGGCATATATGATAAAACTAACACCTGTTCTGAGGGGTGGACATATGTTTATAGTTTCCTATATTTAAGTTTCTTAAAATAGAAATTAAAATATTGATCTTACCTACTTTTTTTTATTTTAAATATTTTATTTATTTATTCATAGAGATGCAGAGAGAGAGGCAGAGACACAGGCAGAGGGAGAAGCAGGCTCCATGCAGAGAGCCTGACATGGGACTCCATCCAGGGTCTCTAGGATTATGCCCTGGGCTGCAGGCAGCGCTAAACTGCTGTGCCACCAGGGCTGCCCCTGATCTTACCTACTTTTAATGCAGAATCATCTATGTAAAAGAACCACACTCTGCAGCTAACCTTTATAAGCAGGACCACATGCTTTCAAAATGGAATTTCTGGAACAATCCTTCATAGTAGGAAGCTGAATGCGAACATAAGAATCTCAGGTCAGAGGGATCCCTGGGTGGCTCACAGGTTTAGCACCTGCCTTTGGCCCAGGGTGTGATCCTGGAGTCCCGGGATCCAGTCCCACATCAGGCTCCCTGCATGGAGCAGGCTTCTCCCTCTGGCTGTGTCTCTGCCTCTCTCTCTCCTCTGTGTCTCTCATGAAAAAATAAATAAAACCTTTTTTTTTTTTTAAACAATCTCAGGTCAGAGATGGAAGAGACCTCTGACATCTAACCTTAACCTTTTATTTTCCAAACCAGAAATCTGTGAGTGGTTTGCCAAAATTACATCCAGCTGATTAATCCCAAGTGGTCTTTAAGTACCACAGTTGAGAAATGATTTTGCTTTTTATTCAAAGTTCAATTTTATGACACAATTTTACAATGGAAATTCATGCTATTTGATTTTCTTCATTCAGCTGAATAGTTTTGTCAGAACACTGGCAAGCTTGCCGCTTTCATAATCCAAGTATGCTGACTTCCAAGAACAGAGAAATTTAGATGTTAGCGTACATAAAAAAGGAGTTAGGTTGCTCGAGAGTCTTTACCATTTGGTGTGAATCCAAAAGTATGAAAACTGCAAATGATTGCCTTTTGTAATATGTACAGCATATGGACAATTAAGAATTTCTTCAATTTGAAGAAATGAATCAATGTTATAATAGATACATTTTAAGGTTTACCTTTGGAAAATGATTCAGACTTATATATAAAGAATTATATACTTAAATGTCTGAATTGTATACTAAAGATTAAAGATTATTCTTCAAAATTTTTCACAAAAACAGTTCTAAACTGGGGTGATAATCACAATCAACTGGACTAGCTATCAGCTCATTTTACTTTACTAATAAAAATTTAAACTAAAAAAAAAGGTGGTAAACCAAGGACACCATCTGAAATAATTTGACATTTTATGTTATTGCACTCTATTTCCAGACAAATCAGCTTTCTGATAACCAAAAGACTGGGAGATTTCGCAACAGCACCCAAAATAGTTGAAAACAATAACAGATAAAACTGAATGTAATTTTCCAAAACTTAATATTAATAGCACTACTGATGTCAAATAGGTGTATGAAAGAAAGAAAACACCAGGTTTAATACCTTATAAAGTATGTACAGACCTTGAACATTGTTGTAAGATACAATTCAAGTCACAACTGAATTAGCGATGTCATCAAATACTCTGATATAATGAAAAAGTCTAGTTGGTTAAAAACAAAACAAAACAAAACAAAAATGCATGTAAACCATAAAAGATTACAAAGTACTTTAAAATACACAACAGAATTCTAACCAGGAGGTTTAAATTTTGATTCTTAATAGGTGAGCACATATTTATAATCTTTAAATTTCACAATTTGTTGTTTTTACATGATCTTTATTATCTGGATAACATAAAACAATAAAAAGTTCTTTTAACACCATTTACACACAGGAGAAAAAAAAAACAATCAGCGGGGAGGTTGGTAGAAGGCAGTAGCCATAGTTAAGTAACATATGGAAGGCCTGGGATTTTATTCGTGGACTCAAGTCACAAAACAGACTTAATAACCAAAATTGCAGGCCAGGAACAGGCAGTTTCACTTCCGAGACTTCCCTGCAGGGACCTGGTTCCCTTACCTAAAAAAGGAAATGGTGATAAATAACAGTTCTGAAGGCAGAGTTCTGGGAGGAATGGAGAGATCACCTACACGAACTAATGAGTGCACTTAGGTATTAAGGAAAGACTGCCCCAAGTGTGCAAGTTCACAGCACAAGTTCACCGTAGGACCTTCTTCCAAGGTCTAAAAACCTCCACCTATACTCAGTCCTTTAGCACAACAGCCAAAGTCTAAAGCACAGGAATCCTTAATCGGGAGTGTTCAGCCCAGTTGATTATCAAAAGCTATGTGTAAAATGCTTCAATACTGATGATATTAAAGCTACCAAAACTTTGTAATGATCACAAAGATCTGGCCTCCTGGGTTCGAAATCCAAAGTCATTTTGCCTTCTGACAACGTCGCAGATATGTCAAATACTTCACAATCTCTCAAACTGTGTGGCATCTGCCTTCTAGGTTTTCTGTCTATCATAGTCTCCAACCATCTTCTTGATGTGGGACAATTTGCTCTTCAACTGCTTGCAATAATTCCTCTTATTTTTGTAATCTGGAGACTAAAAAAAAAAAAAAGGAAGAAATAAAGGTAAATTTAACAAAATAAAAACAAATATGGCAGTTTCTCTGGGCATATAAGCAATTGATTCTTTTTTCAATGGAGATGAATTATTATCTTCTTCTTTTTTAGAAGTAGGTTCCACATGAAGCATGGAGCCCAACATGGGGCTTGAACTCATGACCCTGAGATTAAGACCTGAGCTAAGAGTCAGATGCTTAACCAACTGAGCCACCCAGGCAACCCTGAATCATATCTTCTAACCTGAGTTTTACAAAGCATACACTTATTTCTAGTGATTTCTAAAGTGACCCAAAAAACTTACTGACCTTTTTGCTAACACATCATCTAAAAAAAATCAGTAAAACACGGGTGCTTGGCCCGCTCAGTTGGTAGAGCATGTGACTCTTGGTCTTGAGGTTGTGGGTTCAAGATCCATACTGATTGTAGAGATTACTTAAAAATAAAATCTTTAATAAAATTAGTAAAACAAAAACTGGTGATATTGGTTGACTTGGGAAACAATAAATGGGTAAATGGGGAACAAGACACTTTTTTCTTTCCTTTTTGTTTTTTATTTTTTAAGTAATCTCTACAATCACTGTGAGGCTTGAATTCAAAACTCTGAGACCAAGACTCTCATGTTTTACCAACTAAGCCAGGCAGGTGCCCCACTGTATATTCTTTTTAAAGATTTTTTTTTTTTATTCATGAGAGACACACACACACAGAGAGAGAGAGGCGGAGACACAGGCAAAGGGAGAAGCAGTCTCCACGCAGGGAGCCTGACGTGGGACTCGATCCCGGGTCCCCAGGATCAGGCCCTGGGCTGAAAGTGGCGCTAAACCGCTGAGCCACCCGGTTTAGCAGTGGGGCTGCCCCCCACTGTATATACTTTTAAACTCTTGCATTGAAAATTATGGTGTTTTGTGATTTTTAAAAATGTTTACATAAAAATCTTTTAAAAACAAAGTTTTAGGGACACCTGTGGTTCAAACAGTTGAGTGTCTGCCTTTGGCTCAGGTCCTGATGCCAGGGTCCTGGGATTGAGTCCTGCATCATGGTCTCTGCTCAGTGAGGTGTCTGCTTCTCCCTTTGACCCAACCCTATCTTGTGCTCTTTCTCTCTCAATCTCTCACTCAAATAAATACAATCTTTAAAGAAAAAAAAGTTTTAAACCATGAATGACTGATAATGAATGGCAAGTATTAACAAGGATATGGAGCAAAAGGAAACTACACAGCTCACTGGAAATATAAAGTGGCAAAGCAGGAGAGCTGTCTGACACTATGACACTACTTACCAAGGTTAGACAGATACTTCCCAATGACCCTGAAATTTCACTCCCAAGTATACACCTAACAAACATGTGCACACGTACACAGACACTTAAAGCCGCATTAGTTGTAAAAGCCCTAATTTGAGGACAAACCAAACACTGACAAACAAAAGAATGGATACATAAGTTACCTTTTATTCACAAAGCAAAAATAAATGAAACATAGCCACACAAAAAAATATGAATGGATATTCAGAAAGAGCAAAAGACATCACATATGGGGCACCCGGATGGTTGAGTCGGTTAAGCATCCGACTTTTGGTTTCAGCTCAAGTCATGATTGCAGGGTCCTGGGATTGAGCCCTTTGTTGAGCTCCACGCTTAGCATGGAGCCTGCTTGTCCCTCTCCCACTGCCTCTGCCTCTTCCCCTGCTTTTTTGCACACTCCCTAGTTCAAATAAATAAATAAAATCGTTAAAAAAAAAAAAAGGAAATAAATGACACATGAAAAACCCATACTAGGGGCAGCTGGGTGGCTCAGTGGTTGAGAGGCTGCGTTTGGCTCAGGGTGTGATCTCGGGGTCCTGGGATTGAGTCCCACATCAGGTCCCCACAGGGAGCCTACTTCTCCCTCTGCCTGTGTCTCTCTCTCTGTGTCTCTCATGAATAAATAAATAAAATCTTAAAAAAAATCCCTACTATATGATTCCATTTACATAAAGTTCAAGATAGGCAAACCTCATCTATGATGTGAGAAGTTGGGATAGGGGTTATCTGTGGGGAGAGGAAAAATTGGGAGGAGGCAACAAGAGAGGGTTTCCAGGTACTCTAAGAAATACATTTCTTCATCTGAGTGCTAGGTATATGGTCGTTTGGTGAAAATCTGCCAAGTAGTAGCCTCGTGCAAGTTTCTGTATGTATAATTCAATTAAAAAAAAAAAGCTTAAAAATTCAGCTACTGGTGGTAGCTGCAAACAACTGAAATTAAGGTTCTAATTTCTGCTACCATTTTCACCATGCAGTTTTAGGGCCTTTTGTCATAGCCAGTGTTTGTGTGACAAGGTACCCGTACTCATAGTCATTCCAAAGGTTAAATAAAAAAACACATAACAGAAAAATTCTTCCTGGAGGGAATCTTACAGATCTGTGATACTTACTCCCTTAACTTGCTTCAGTCTATTGTACTCATCAGCAGCAGCCTATTAATGAGAAACACAATAGAAAACGGTTAGCAGGGGCATTTTCTCTTTCAAAAATAACATGCCTGAGGTTATATTTTGGGGCTAAAACTGCCAACAATGCGGCAAATAGAGGAAATTAAAATAATGAAGTCTTTAGGCTCTTAAAACTAGTATAGGCAGCAAGAGGGGCTGAAGGAAGCCAGCAAAGAGAAATGTATGACTTATACCTCCCATGCCGTAGCTATTTGTTTTGCTGCCTCTCATCTCTCCCCAGGCTGGTGCATGTGCCACGCCGACACCAGAGAGACCTTCTGTAAGGCACTGCGCTCATCTGGTTATACCCCATTAAGATTATGAAACTGGTCTGAGCTTCCTAGTAACTAACTTACTATATACATTAACTTATATATACTAACATACACACCCACTAAAATATATACATATTTATCATGTATATATTAATCACATACATATTTACCATATTATATACATGCTAATATAGCACGTATATATAAAATAATTTGACCAACAAAATAAAGTAGCAGATTATAACCCAAAGTATAAAATAGACGTCTACTGAGTCAATAGTGACATATATGAATGATTAAGATAAACAGGAGGAACGGACCAATTTCTCATGCACAAGAATTCTAAATAATGTATGTGAGTACACTGCCTTTAAAGAGCTGAAGCATAATTCCCCATTCCTTAAGTGACTTTTTTCCCAAAGAGTATAGTATAGAAAGGGATTAAAAAGAGTAACTTTCACGGACAAACATTACTTCAGCCAAGTGGGGGGAAAAAACAACCACCGCCATAAACTACTGTTGAGTAAGAAAACAATAAGGATGCAAGTAAAACATAAGATAATTTTTCATCAAAGATGGTACATGTCTAGTGCATTTTTGCATGAAGGGGATATTTTAACAACTCATATTTGGTGACAACCAAGTGACAATATTTAAGGTAGTTTATTTTTCTGTACACAATCCTATAATGTGTAATATCTTACAGAAACAATGACCTGTGTTTAAAAATAGAAAAAGTAATATAGCTTTTTTGTTTTTCTAAGTAGGAAGGGATATATGTACATAGCCTGTTGTTTTGTACTTGTTAACTACATCAGTGCACTCTTCAATTTGGAAAGACTTTCACATCCAAGATTGAATTTCAGTTATTATTCAATGAAACCAATTTGAGAGTGACCAGCAAAATTTAAATCAACAATAGAAAGGACATGATATCTTCATAGATTAAATCATATCATATGTAATATATAATTGTCAGGTTTGAATTTACCATGTACTCTTCACTTTCTTCTCTGTAGTCATCCAATTCTTTATCCAGGCGAGAAAGTTCTTTATTGATCTCATCAAGTTCTGCTTGTAAGCTCTTGTATTCCTGCAGGCCAGTGTCAAAATTTCTCTTGTAGAGTTGTCTTTGTTGATCTGAAGTGATAGGTGGATATTCCCTAAAAATTGAGTTAGAAAATGACTACTTAGGACTCTGGCAGACATAAAATCCAGTGTTTAATCATCAAAGAAAATGAGCTCTTGGGATGTAGAAAATGACATTCTCCTGTTTCTGTTGCATACAGGGAGAGGGAAGGTGGGATGAAAATAAGTTTTCTCTTAATAATGATTATATTTGGGATGCCTGAGTGGCTCAGGGGTTGAGCGTCTGCCTTTGGCTCAGGTCATGATCCCAGGGTCCTGAGATCGAGTCCCACATCAGGCTCCCTGCTCAGGAGAGAGCCTGCTTCTCCCTCTGCCTGTGTCTCTGCCTCTCTCTCTGTGTCTCTCATGAATAAAAAAGTAAAATCATTAAAAAAAAAAAAAGGATTATACTTTAGGGGGACCTGGGTGGCTCAGTCAGTTGAGCATCCAACTCTTAATTTTGGCTCCAGTCATGATCTCAGGGTTGTGAGATCAACCCCTTCTGGAACTTAGCAGAGTCTGCTTAAGATCCTCTCATTCCTTCTGCTCCTCCCCCTTGCTCATACGGTCCGTCTCTCTCTCAAAAAAAAAAAAAAAAAAAAAAGATTATACTTTATACATCACTGCTTATGGTTTTAAAAATATTATGCTTGGGGGAGGAGGGAGGGCACCTGAGCAGCCCAGTCAGTTGAGCAGCCACCGGTTGATTTTTGGCTCAGGTTCTCATGATCTCAGGGTCCTGTGATGGAGTCCTGTCACACCTCCACAATCAACGGGGAGTCTGCTTGAGATTATCTCACTCTGCCCCACCCCCAATCCGTATATACACAGTCTAAAATAAATTAATCTTAAAAAAAAATAAAATAAGGGCAGCCCCGGTGGCGCAGCGGTTTAGCGCTGCCTGCAGCCCGGGGTGTGATCCTGGAGACCCAGGATCGAGTCCTGCATCGGGCTTCCTGCATGGAGCCTGCTTCTCCCTCTGCCTGTGTCTCTGCCTCTCTCTTCGCTCTCTGAATGAATAATAAATAAATCTTAAAAAAATAATAAAAATAATAAATAAAATAAATTAATCTTTAAAAATAAATACTATACTTAAATGATTTTTAGAAATAAAACGGAAGGGGCACCTCAAGTGGCTCAGTTAAGTGTCTGCCTTCAGCTCAGGTCATGATCTCAGGGTCCTGGATTGAGATCTGAATAAGGCTCCTGCTCTGAGTGGGGAGATTCCCCCTCTCCCTCTGCTGCTCCCCCTGCTTGTGCTGTCTCTAATAAATAAATAAGGTCTTCAAAAACAAAGAAAACTGAAAATCATTTATGAAACTTAAGGTCCAAGTCATAGGAACTCATTCTGAATATACAACGCCACACGATAATAGAATATTTATATTTCAAGTCTTAAAACTGGAATTCTAGAACACAAAGTACATTTTCATCATTGCAGGGGAGAACAGCTACTGACAGCTGGTTGTCTTCCGCTACCAAGTACAGTTTTTAGATTTTTAAAAAACTGATCTTGTTTCCTGAGCAGAAATAGTTTAAGTCCTTTGATTATAAAAGTAGACTTTAGGGACACCTGGGTGGCTCAGCGGTTTGGTGCCTGCCTTCGGCTCGGGGTGTGATCCTGGAGACCCGGGATCGAGACCCATGTCAGGCTCCATGTGTGGACCTGCCTCTCTCTCTCTGTATCTCTCATGAATAAATAAATAAATCTTTAAAAAAATAAAATAAAAGTAGACTTTAAAATGTACATGTACATAAAATAAAAATAAAATGTACACGTACAAAAATATATGCTCATTGTACAAATAATATGGCAATACATTAAATTGAAAAAAGCCCTTTTACTCAGCCATTAGAAACGACAAATACCCACTATTTGCTTCAACGTGGATGGAACTGGAGGGTATTATGCTGAGTGAAGGAAGTCAATCGGAGAAGGACAAACATTATATGTTCTCATTCATTTGGGGAATATAAATAATAGTGAAAGGGAATATATGGGAAGGGAGAAGAAATGTGTGGGAAATATCAGAAAGGGAGACAAAACATAAAGACTCCTAACTCTGGGAAACGAACTAGGGGTGGTGGAAGGGGAGGAGGGCGGGGGGTGGGGGTGAATGGGTGATGGGCACTGAGGGGGGCACTTGACGGGATGAGCACTGGGTGTTATTCTGTATGTTGGTAAATTGAACACCAATAAAAAATAAATTTATTATAAAAAAAATAAAGCAAACATTACCATCAAAAAAAAAAAAGAAAGAAAGAAAAAAGCCCTCAAATTCTGTATAATTTGTATCTCTCAACATACTAGCTATTCTTTACAGATCATGGTGAGGCTATTACCTAATAATCCACTGAAAATAATACTCTGAATTGTTTCATAGGACTAATGAACTTTATAGCAAGATGGAATTTCAATTTTTACATCTAAATTGGCTTAATATCTTCATTTTACAAAGGGAAGAAATGAAATGATTTGCTCAAAAGAGAAATATGAATCAGGTTTTTTAAAGGTTTTTTTCCTTCCATGATACAAGAAAATATTTTATAGCTAGATGGCTGAACGTGGCCAAGAACTTTTTTTTTTTTTTTTGCAAATTTAGTTATTTAAGTGTGTGTCAGAGGGGCAGAGGGAAAGAATCTCAAACAGGCTCCCCATTGAACAGGGAGCCCCGTGTGAAGCTCGATCTCGTGACCTGAGTCGAAACCAACAGTCAGAAGCTTAACCGACTGAGCTACTCAGGTGTCCGTGGCTGAGAATTCCTGTGGGAAGAGGGGAAAGTGAGGTATGAGAACCACCAATGAGGAGATTTCAAACTATACTACGCCACTCGTCCCTCCAAACACCCTGAGAAGCAATGTTTTGATTAACCACCATTTACACTGCAAATGTTTCTGATTGGTATTCCATTTCTCAGAATACTTGGGCATAAAAGGGCTGGCTACACATCACACAGGAGTATAGTTTGGTGATGATGAATTATAACTCGACCACAACCTTGGCCAGAACTCGAAATTGTTAACTTAATTGTTTAGAAAATTATTTGCCAAAGTCTCCCGGATTAAATATTTTATTATTTTATTTTATTTATTTTATATTTTATTTTATTATTTTATTTTATATTTTTAAGATTTTATTTATGTACTTGACAAAGAGAGAGCACGCACAAGCAGGGGGAGCAGCAGAGGGCCCAACACAGGCCTTGATCCCAGGACCTGAGCTGGAGGCAGACACTTAACCAACTGGGCCACCCCGGCGCCCCTGGATTAAACTTTTAAAAGGATCTCTGGTCTCATTGTGAAACCTTAACTTAAAAATAAATGCCAAAACAAAGCCATAGCACTGCTCTGGGAATTTTATAATCAGTAACAGAAGTTCCTCTACACTGGCGTCTTATTTATTTGGAAGACCTTTCTTGGGTGCCTACTGGTATGAGTAAAAGCACTGGTGAAGTTCATAAGTCATTTTGTGGAAGACGCTCATAGTATCTTTAAGACATAGTCACAGCCAAACATATCCCCTCCACGTCAGTCTTTATTTCAAAAGAGTACTACGGAAAAAAACCTAGCCAAAAATTATCTCCAGGGACGCCTGAGCGGCTCAGTCAATTAAGCATCTGCCTTTGGCTCAGGGCGTGGGATCGATCCCCATGTGGGGCGCCCAGCTCAGGGGGGAGTCTGCTTCTCCCTCTCCCTCTTCCCTTGCTTGTGCTCTATCCCAGGACTCTGCGATCATGACCTGAGCCAAAGGCAGATGCTCAACCATCTGAGCCACCCCAGTGTCCCCAGTGGAAATGAATAAAAATATCTAGGACACTGGGGTGGCTCAGATGGTTGAGCATCTGCCTTTGGCTCAGGTCATGATTGCAGAGTCCTGGGATCGAGCTCTGCATCGGCCTTCGGGTTCGTGGGGAGTCTGCTTCTCCCTCTGCCTGCTGCTTTCCCTGCTTGGGTTCTCTCTCTCTCTCTCTTTCTGACAAATAAATAATTTTTAAAAAATCTTAAAAAAAAATCCTCCCCAGTCCTGGTTGTCAAAATGACACCGCACCCCCCGACCCCAGCTGAGCCAGCAAGCGTTGACCCAGGGCGGCTCCAGCACGAAGCCCCCCACTACCTGATCCAGTCCTCCTCCAACTCGTCACATGACTCGCCGCCTGTCGTGTAGTCTGTCTCATAGTGGTCCTGCTCCAGCCTCTTGGGCCTTCCCGCTCTTCCTTTCGAGGGGGCCCTCTTCGAAGGTGGCTCCAAGTGCCCACTGCTGCTGTAGCGAGGCTGCCTGAAGTCATCCACAGGGGAGGTGGCAGGCAGCTCCTGCACCACTTCGGGGACCCTAGCGAAACAGCAATCAGATTTCAGGGACCACGAGGTATGCTGCAGCCCCTGGCCAGGGAGGGCAGAGTGAGCCCAGAGAGCAGCACAGGAAGCACGAGGAGACGTCTAGGCCCTGGTGCTCTCACTCAGCAAGTTCAGGGACCTGACACACAGCATGTCCCTTTGTTCAGGCTGGCACCCACTCGAGTCCTCTGGGACACGCCACTAGCTTGAAGGTTCCAGGGTATGGGGAGCCCATTTGTAGAACCTTCTAAGCAAGATGGATCCAAGATGGGACTTTAGGAAGCCCAGGCTGATCTGGAGGAGGTGTTTACCTGACCTGGGCCAGGGACTGAGCCCTCCAAAGGTGGTTGGGGAACAGAATGCTCAGGATTCTTTTCTACAGGTTCTTCCAGTTTCCTGGAATGCTGGGTGGTGAGAACAAATACCTGTACCCGTCTACCTTCAGAAGCTGGTTCTCAGAGGTAAGCATTTTAAGTATTAATTTTTAGACTCCTCTACATCAATTTTCAAGATACAAGCTTGGAAAACTAAAATATTAAACATTTAAACGACTGCTTTTGCTAATCCTATGGCCATGTAGACCGAATGGCATGGAAGGATTACCATGAGACTTATTTTCCTAGTGTAATTACTTAATATTGCATGAGATTTTTCATTGCGTATGTTTCTGCCACAAGCATGAAAATGAAGCCAAACACGGAATGTGGCAACTGTAAAGTACTTCTGAGTAACAGTGATGCACAGCTTAACTTTCCTTGGTCGCAGAGCTAAAGAAAGAAGAGCAATGAAAGGAAGGCAAAGGACACGCCCGAGACTGTCCAACATCAGCCTTGCTACTCAAACCAACTATTAAAAAACGTGTGAAGATTAGAAAACATTGTCTCATGGTTTTCAACTTACAGGAACTATAATCTTGAGCTCTGTCTACGAGGTATATGCTCTGTTTTCTAGGTGATCCAGAACTGCTTGATTCAAATTGTTGTCACAGTCTTCAGATTTCAAATTGCACTTACCTAATTTCTTAAAGCTTTTGGTTGTGTGTGTGTGGTTGGGGGGGTGGGGTGGGGGTGGTCCTGTGATTTAGGTCTTCGCCCTGAATGGATTCAGGTTATCATGGCCTGCGTGCTGTGTTAATGCTACATCTAAAGGACAGAAAATGTGACTTTCTCCACGAGTCAATGAGTAACAAGTTCCTAGACACTCTGGCAAGTTGCCAGGTATTACGCTTCTCATGTTGGGAATGCAGTAGGTATATTTAAGGGAGTAGGGGCTAGAGAGGGAGGAAGCTACCCAGCAAAAGAAATCAAAAAATAACAAAACCTAAAACATGAAGACAGGCCTCCTCTCATAATTTGTTTTTAAATATTTTATTTATTTAGTCATGAGAGACACAGAGAGAGCGGCAGAGACACAGGCAGAGGGAGAGGCAGGCTCCCTCCGGGGCTATGTATACTGTCAATAATCTTTGAACCTACTTTTAATTTTTTTTAAAGATTTATTTTTGTTTATTTATGATAGACATATATATATATATAGAGAGAGAGAGGCAGAGACACAGGCAGAGGGAGAAGCAGGCTCCATGCAGGGAGCCCGAAGCGGGACTCGATCCCGGGACTCCAGGATCACTCCCTGGGCCAAAGGCAGGCGTGAAACCGCTGAGCCACCCAAGGATCCCCTGAACCTACTTTTATATATAAAATCTTTTTTTTTTTAAGACTGCACTAATACTTCAGTAAGGTGCAGGTTTTTACATTTTTTTTTTAAGATTTTATTTATTTATTCACGGGAGAATAACAGAGAGAGAGGCAGAGACATAGCCAGAGGGAGAAGCAGGCTCCCCACAGGGAACCCAATACGGGACTTGATCCCAGGACCCCGGGGTCATGCCGAGCCAAAAGCCGACGCTCAACAACTGAGCCACCCAGGCGTCCCTTAGATACAAATTCTATGAGGTCATAATCTTCACGACCCTGAAGAGGCAACCAGCTGCATGTTTTCCCTGGTATCCACCTCAGTCTCCAGGTCCAAAAGTTTACCCTTTCACAGTCTTTTTTTTTTTTAAAGATTCATTCATTCATTCATTCGTTCATTCATTTATTGAGAGAGAGACAGACAGACTGAGAGAGACTGAGAGGCAGAGACACAGGCAGAGGGAGAAGCAGGCTCCATGCAGGGAGCCCGATGTGGGACTCGATCCCGGGACTCCAGGATCACACCCTGGGCTGCAGGCGGCGCCAAACTGCTGCACCACCGGGGCTGCCCAACATCTTTCTTTTTTATTCACTTGTTTTATTCACATACACACACCTGCACATGCCTTCGGTGCTCCTACCTTGCCCGGACTCTCAGTGTAGCTACTGTGTGCGGTCTTCTGCCCCTGGTAGATTGCCACCTCCATGAGAACAAGAACTCGGGATTCCCAGGGTACCTAGCCAACTACGGTGTACCTGGCAGGTGTTCAAGGTAATTACTGAGTTGAAAATACATTCACAGGAATGCTTTCTGATGACACCCAGTAACAGTGAGGGAAGATAAACAAGGCATGATCAACATCAGTGTCCTATCAAAATAATGTCCATTATGTACATACTATTTTATTTTTAATTTTTTAAAAATTATTTATTTATTTGAGAGGAAGAGACCAAGAGAGCAACAGAGGGAGAAGGAGACAGACTTCCCACCAAGCGGGGAGCCGGAGGTGGGGCTTGATCCCAGGACCCTGAAACAACAACCAAAGCCAAAATCAAGAGTGGGTGCTCAACCGACTGAGCCTGCAGAGCAGGGCTCAATCCCAGGACCCAAAGATCATGACCTGAGCCAAAGACAGATGCTTAACTGAGCTACCCAGGCACCTCTACATGGTATTTGGAAACTGTCATCATTATTGGGGGGAATATCTAAGCCATGTCAGTCAAAGAACACTGTCTCCCTAGACTTGGGAACAACAATGATCCAAAAAGGGCCAATCAGGAATCTTTCAGTAGATTTTACACGTTAGCTTTGGGAAAGGACATGTCATTTTCTATGTCCTGTGCCAGAAGTTCAATGTAGCCCGGAAAATGTGGACGACCGTCTTCCTTTATTTATTTTTTATTTATTTATTTATTTTTGCCATCTTCCTTTAATAGAAGCTGTACCGACAACAAAGCCCACATAGTAACAGGAGCCCTAACACCTACTGAGTTCCTGGCTCATGCCATTCCTAAACTTCGACCATCCCTTGGCATAATGTGAACCTGTGAATTCCTATGACTTGTATAAAAGTCCTAACAGATTATCCTGCTAGCTGCATATTTACTGCCTCCATACAAGGTTTCATTGGCAAGGTGTCAGCCTGCCTTGAAGGCTCTGTGGCATGTTGACATTCAACTTCCATGACTTTTTAAGATTTTATTTATTTGACAGAGAGAGAGAGAGAGAGAGAGCAAGAGAGCACAAGCAGGGAGAGATGCAGACGGAGAGGGAGAAGCAGGCTCTCTGCTGAGCAGAGAGCCCGAGGTGGGCCTCGATCCCAGGACCCTGAGATCATGACCTGAGCCCAAGGTAGATGCATAACCGACTGAGCTACCCGGGTGGCTTACACTTATAAATTAAGACCAATTTCCTTAACTCATAACAATGTATTTACCCTGGATTTGGACAGGATAGTACAGAATGTACCTAACAGGGGGATATTGCCTAAATTTAATTAGAAAAGGTAGAAAAGAAACCATTTTCAATTATATTTTGCCATCTCCTAACCTAGTATTAATTCTAATTGCACTGAAATTCTAAGATACAGGGCATGTTGATGATGGGCGCAAGATGCCAGATGCAACTGTAATTACCATATAATTCCACTTTCTAAGAAGTCCCAACAATAAACACAACTAACAGGTAGTTAAAGGCATCAAAACTGTGGTGGAGGGGAATGGGGGTATCAGTGAGGAAGGGGACACAAGGACCGTTCAGAGTGCTTGTACGTCTCTCTGTTGGCGTGGTGGTGGTAACTTCAGTGCTCACACGTGAAAAACCATCAGGTGTATGCCCAAGACGAGTACTCTTTACTGGATGTGTGTTATGCTTCGGGGAAAGAAGTCCTCGTGTTGAGGACCTCATCCTTACCATGGACCTGAGACACAACGTTCCTGTTCTAATTTCTGCTCTATCCACTATGACAGCATGGAGAGGCACCTTTATGAAATCCTGGGGAGACACAGCCTATGACTGAAGGTGTAGCCCTACTCCAACCAAGTGGATGTGCTCTGAATCTTCCAGAGCACACGATACTCTGCCTTGGGTAACGCCTGGCAATTTCTATTATTCCCGAGAGGCTCCAAATTCCTTCCATCATTCGCGCACATAAATCAGGAGATAATGTCCCATCCACATCCCTTAGCACCATCCCCATTTTCCTCTCCTTCTGGATTTTGAAACTAAGTATCACATGCGCATTTTCCAGACCTTCAAGAAAGTTCTGAGGTGTAGGCTGGGAATACAAATTGGTATACCCCTTAGGGGGCTACAATTTGAGTATGCTTTTTTTTTTTTTTTTTGAGTACACTTTCATATTGAAATAGGAAACTTCCTTCAGCTTAGCACTTCTGTTTTAAATATTTGTCCTCCAGGGGCACTTGGGCGGCTCAGCGGTTGAGCGGTTGAGCGTCTACCTTTGGCTCAGGGTGTGACTCCGGGTCCTAGGATAGAGTCCAACATCAGTGTCCCTACAGGGTGCCTGCTTCTCCCTCTGCCTGTGTCTCTGGCTCTGTGTGTCTCTCAGGAATAAATACATAAAATCTAAAAAAATTTTTTTCCTCCAGATATATTCACACACATATAAAGTGATAAATGCACAAGTTTACTCCCTACAGCGATGTGTAATATCAAACCATTGGTAAAAGTATGCATCAGTAAGAGACCCAAAGGTTACAGTATATCCATTTGGTGGAATATCATGCAGCTATAAAACAGATCCTTAAACTTTTTGTATACTAATATGCACAATCTCAAAGACATAGGGCTAATAATGCATTTAATGTGCTAGTATTTCTTAAAGGAAGATATAACGAATGTACATTTTGGCCAGCATAAGTATTGAAAAATAACTTCTGGAAGGTAGTTTTTTTAAGGACTTTATTTATTCCTGAGAGACAGACAGATAGAAAGGAAGAGGGATCCCCCATGGGAATCACAATCTGAGCTGAAGGCAGACGCTTAACTGACTGAGCCATTTAGGCACCCTGGAAAGTTATAAAAGAAATTGGTGGGCGCCTGGGTGGCTCAGTCGGTTAAGCGTCTGACTCTTGATATCAGCTCAGGTTTTGATCTCAGAGTTGTAATTTCAACCCCCATACTTGAAAAAAAAAATAGTGGTAAACCAGCTGCCTCTAGGAATAGGAATCTTGGTAGCTGGGGACAAAAGCTATCCCTTTGTCTCTTTTTAATTAATTAATTAATTTTATTTATTTATTTATTTTCAAAAGATTTATTTATTTCTGAGAATACACAGAGAGGAGAGAAAGAAACAGAGACACAAACAGAGGGAGAAGCAGGCACCATGCAAGGAGCCTGACATGGGACTTGATCCCGGGTCTCCAGGATCAGGCCCTGGGCCAAAGGCAGCACTAAACCGCTGAGCCACCCGGGCTGCCCTCTTTTATTTTTTTAATAAATTTTTAATAAATAAATATCTATTTTTATTTATTTATTTTTAATAAATATCTATTTTTATTTATTTATTTTTAATAAATATTTTTATTTATTTATTTTTAATAAATATCTATTTTTATTTATTTATTTTTAATAAATGTCTTTATTTTTAATAAATATCTTTTTTATTTATTTTTAATAAATAAAGATTTATTTATTTATTCATGATAGACATACAGAGAGAGAGGCAGAGACACAGGAAGAGGGAGAAGCAGGCTCCATACGGGGGGCGGGGCGGGGTGGGCAACGTGGGACTCAATCCTGGGGCTCCAGGATCACGCCCTGGGCCAAAGGTAGGCACTAAACCGCTGAGACACCCAGGGATCCCCTCTCTTTTAAATTTTATGTTACAAATGTACTGGCTTATTCAAGAATAAGATTTTTAAATTGTTCGAAATGAATTTGTGAAAATATCTAGGTTTTCATGAAAAGAGACAACATGTAGAATGCTATGTCACTCAGGCTTTACAATTAGTTTGGAGGCACGGCTGATAACAAGATGCATTATAAATATGTATTATGTATGCACGGAAGTTGTGCAAATCATACCTTTAAACTTTTACAAGGATTGTGCTTCTACTACGTATACCTTTGCCTCTAACAGCCTCAAGGGCTCTGCATTTTTGTCAAAATCCAATCAGAAGAACAGAGAAAAAGCTCTTCCTCGAAACCATTCACAACTGAAACCAACAGCAAGGGATGCCTGGGTGGCTCAGCGGTTTAGCGCTGCCTGCAGCCCAGGGTGTGATCCTGGAGACCCAGGATCCAGTCCCACATTGGGCTCCCTGCATGGAGGCTGCTTCTCCCTCTGCCTGTGTCTCTGCCTCTCTCTGTGTCTCTCATGAATAAATAAAATCTTACCAAAAAAAAAAAAAAAAAGAAAAGAAAACAATGAAAGAAAGAAACCAACAGCAAAGTCAAGCCTGAAGATCAAAACCAAATATACTGTCATCTGTTTCCAAATTCCATTCCAGGGTAATAATAAAATCTATTGTCTCAAACTGATTCCATAATTAAGTTAGCTGCTGGTGTCATCTTAAGGGGTTCCAGGTGCCCAAACTACTGTGCACTCAGGGTGGATCTCTATATAAACTGGACCACTAAATGGGAGGGGAGGGAAGGGAGGGTAGGAGTTGGGAGATAAAACTTTGAAGCAACACAAAGTTTTCCAGCAGATACACCTTTACCTTGAAACAACCAAAGCAGTTATAGAGAACATTTATTTTTCACTTTTGGTCTACAAATGAATTTGGAGTTCAAGAATTATATATGAGATTGCTGCCTGGCTCAGTTGATGGAATATACAACTCTTGATCTCACAGTTATGACTTGGAGCCCCATGGCGGATATAGGTATTACTTAAAAATGAAATTTTTGAGCCCAGGTGGCTCAGTGGCTTAGCGCTGCCTTCAACCCAGGGCCTGATCCTGGGGACCTGGGATCGAGTCCCATGTCGGGCTCCCTGCATGGAGCCTGCTTCTCCCTCTGCCTGTGTCTCTGCCTCTCTCTCTCTCTCTCTCTCTCTCTCTCTCTCTCTCTGTGTGTGTGTGTGTGTGTGTGTCTGTGTGTGTTTCTCATGAAAGAATAAATAAATAAAATCTTAAAAAAAAAAACACGATGGGGACACCATTTCAATAACCATAATGGCACCCACTGCAGGCCAGAAATTCACTGTAAGATTATTCACACTACTTGTAAATCTACACCTAGAGGCTTTATCAGTTTCACTTCCTTCAGCAATGTGAAGAACCTAGCTCAGCAGGTGAGATCTCAGAATTCCTGAATTCAAACAAAGCTTCTAGTTACACAAAAATGTATGTGGCTAGGGATGGATCAACCAGCAATCTTTCTGTTCCATTAATGAGATCTACTAGTTACAGGCAAGGAGAGACAAAACCGCACACAGCTCTGCTTTGTATCAGTAATGTCCTTCACTCTCACCTCAACCTCAAAACCAGCAATGGGAAAGAGAACTTTTCTAGAGCAGAAAAAATCTAATGTACCCATTTCCTATTAAACCAGCAAGAGAAAAGAATCAATTTCAGCTTAGAAGGGGAAGGGATCCCTGGGTGGCGCAGCGGTTTGGCGCCTGCCTTTGGCCCAGGGCGTGATCCGGAAGACCCGGGATCGAATCCCACATCGGGCTCCCGGTGCATGGAGCCTGCTTCTCCCTCTGCCTGTGTCTCTGCCTCTCTCTCTCTCTCTCTCAGTCTGTGACTATCATAAATAAATAAAAATTAAAAAAAATAAAAATAAATAAATAAATAAAAAAAAGAAGGGGAAGAAGATCCCACCAGCTGACAGTCCCACCCTCCTCATCTTCTAAGTCTCCACCAACTATGCCAAAGATCAGGCTCCAGCCTTTGGAAAATGTTAAAAAATATATATTTTTAAAGTAAAAGGTAAACAGGAACAGATTTATCAACATATGGAAATACTCATTTTTTTTTTTTAAGACTCATTCTATCTGAAGAAGGAAGATGCTACTTACGGTGTTGATTTATAGGAAGACTCTGGATACAACCGCTTGTCATTCACTTTACCATTGGAAGAGTACGCCGTGGGACTGTCCACTCTCTCCACATAGTCAGAAGGGGGAGGAGGCATGTCTTGTGTGCCTGCAGAAACGTTTTTAACCTAAAGAAACAGCCCCGAGAGACACAATTATTATTGAGCCTGTAACTTAAAGGGCAAAGAAATGGAAGAAAAATATATAGATATAGAGAATTACCTAATAGTTATTGGGCTCATTAAATACTGTTAACCTGTCCTGTTACTGTTAGAATTAACAGTCAAATCAGTATTATTTTTTAAAGATTTTATTTATTTATTCATGAGAGACACAGAGAGAGAGGCAGAGACACAGGCAGAGGGAAAGAAGCAGGCTCCCTGCGGAAAGCCAGATGCAGGACTTGATCCCAGGACCCTGGGATCACCTCCTGGGCCAAAGGGAGATGCTCAACCGCTGAGCCATCCAGGTGCCCCAAGAATTTTCATTTCTAACGAGTTCTCGGGTAATGCTTATGCTGCAGTCTGGGCACCACACTCGGAAAACTCATCTAGGACAAAAGACACTAGTTCTTCTTAATCCAGCCACACTACACATGGAATGTTAAAAATCACAGAAGAACTTAAGACGCTCAAACTCATTTCTGCTATAGTTCTTTAGTAAGACGTTTGTTTATTCTCCCTTAACATGCGTTCTCAATGGCTCTGTTCCCAATAGCCTACACAGTGAAGTCACAATATCATCGTCTGCCCTCTCTGCTTTCCTTCCTATTCCACTCTGATATGTAAGTGATTTTGTCCTGAGAGGTATTATACACTAGAGATAAGGCATTGCTAACATGAAAGACTTCCCAAAGAACCTTTGGGAGAAAATCTTAAATATCACAAGCATAGCCAATTAGATTCCCCACATTTTTTTTAAGTTTATTTTTTTAGTAATCTCTGTACACAACACGGGGCTCAAACTCACAACCCTGAGATCAAGAGCCCATGCTCTTCTGACTGAGACAGTCAGGCACCCCTAGATTCCCAACATTAACTGTTAGATTTCATGTGGTAGATCCAACACTTTCAATTTCACCTAATAATGTTTATGTTATTAGATATTACTCTGCAAATGATTACGAAAAAAAACCCTGCTAAGGCCAGATAAGTCACTGAGTTGTTGCAAAGCAGAAGTAAGGTGTAGGGAAAAAATTAAAAATAACTCCACAAAAAATATTTCTGTGGAAAAGAACAACTTTTCAAAAATAAGAAGGAAGTTACTGGTTTAGCGTGGTAATGAAAACAATGACATGAGATTACCTGGGTTCACTCTACATCTGCCAACTACGAGTTCTAGAAAGCCTCCATCTCTTTTCTTCAAGAAATAAGGACACTACCATGTTTATTCAACATAGTACTGGAAGTCCTAGCTGCAGCAGACAAGAAAAACAAATAAAAGACATTCAACTTGGTAAGAAGTAAATTTTCACTATCTGCAGATGACAAGATACTATATATAGAAAATTCTAAAGACCACCAAAAACTACTAGAACTGATAAATGAACTTAGTAAAGTCACAGGATACAAAATCATCATAGACATCTTTTGCCTTTCTATACACGAATAATGAAGCAGCAGAAAGAGAAATTAAGAAAACAATCCCATTTATAATTGCACCGAAAGGAATAAAATACTTAGGAATAGACTTATTCAAAGAGGTGAAAGAGCCATACTACAAAAACCATAAAAAACTGATGAAAGAAACTGAAGATGACAAAAACAAATGGAAAGATATTTCATGATCATGGATTGGAAGAACTACTATTTTTTTTAAATTTTTTTATTTATTTATGATAGTCACAGAGAGAGAGAGAGAGAGGCAGAGACAGGCAGAGGGAGAAGCAGGCTCCATGAACCGGGAGCCCGACGTGGGATTCGATCCCGGGTCTCCAGGATCGCGCCTTGGGCCAAAGGCAGGCGCCAAACCGCTGCGCCACCCAGGGATCCCCTGGAAGAACTACTATTGTTACAATGTCCATACAACCCAAAGGCATCTACAGATGTAATGTGATCCCTACAGAAATATCAACAGCATTGTTCGTAGAACTAGAATAATATTGAAATTGGTATAGAGGCACCAAGACTCCAAAACAGCCAAAGCAATCTTGAGAAAGAAGAACAAAACTGGAGGAATCATGACTCTGGGTTTCAAGATCCAGAAAAAAAAGCTTAAGTAATCAGAACAGTATGGTACTGGCATAAAAACAGATACGTAGGGCAGCCTGGGTGGCTCAGCGGTTTAGCGCCGCCTTCGGCCCAGGGTGGGATCCTGGAGACCCAGGATCGAGTCCCACGTCAGGCTCCCTGCATGGAGCCTGCTTCTCCCTCGGCCTGTATCTCTGCTTCTCTCTCTCTCTCTCTGTCTCTCATGAATAAATAAATAAAATCTTAAAAAAAAAAAAAAGACATGTAGAACAGAACAGATGAGAGAGCCCAGAAATAAACCCACACTTATATGGTCAATCTACAAGACAAAGACAGTCTCCCTTCAACAAACAGGGCTGGGAAAACTGGGTAGCTATGATCCAAAGAATGAAACTGGACTGCTTTCTTACACCATACACAAAAATAAACTCAAAAAGGCTTAAAGATCTCACTGTGAGACGGGATACCATAAAACTCCTAGAAGAACACACAGGCAGTAATCTCTTACCATAAAACTCCTAGAAGAACACACAGGCAGTAATCTCTTTGACATCAGCTATAGAAACATTTTTCTAGACGTATCTCCTGAAGCAAGGCAAACAAAAGCAAAAACAAGACTACTGGGACTATCCCAAAATAAAAAAACTTTTGCACAGCAAAGGAAACTATCAACAAAACAAAAAGGCAACCTACTGAATGGGAGACGGCATCTGCAAATGATACATCTGATTAGGGAGTAATATCCAAAAAATAATCTCAAGAAAAACCAAATAATCTGATTAAAAATGGGCAGAGGACCTGATAGACATTTTCCCAAAGAAGATAAACAGATGGGCAAGAGATGGGAAAAGATGCTCAATATCACTGTTCATTGGGAAATCCAAATCAAAACCACAATGAGGTATTACCTTACACCTGCCAGAATGGTGAAAATCAAAAAGAAATAATAAAATAACAACAATAAATAAAAAACCAAGACGACAAGAAATTGGTAAGGATGAGAAAAAGGAACCTTTGTGCACTGCTGAAGAGAACGCAAATTGGTACAGCCGCTATGGAAAACATATGGGGGTTCCTCAAAGTTTTTCTTTTTTTTTTATTTATTTATGATAGTCACAGAGAGAGAGAGAGAGAGGCAGAGACACAGGCAGAGGGAGAAGCAGGCTCCATGCACCGGGAGCCTGATGTGGGATTCGATCCCGGGTCTCCAGGATCGCGCCCTGGGCCAAAGGCAGGCGCCAAACCGCTGCGCCACCCAGGGATCCCTCCTCAAAGTTTTTCAAAAAGCCATATGATCCAGTCATTCTACTATTGGCTATTTGCCCAAGGAAAACAAAAACACTAATTTGAAAAGATATATGCACCTGTTTACTACAGCTTTATTTACAATAGCCAAGATATGGAAGCAACCCAAGTGTCAGCTGATAGATGAATGGATTAAAGAAGATGTGGGGGACGCTTGGGGGGCTCAGCAGTTGAGCGTCTGCCTTTGGCTCAGGGTGTGATCCTGGGGTCCCGGGATCGAGTCCCGCATTGGGCTTCCCATGGGGAGCCTGCTTCTCCCTCTGCCTGTGCCTCTGCCTCTCTCTCTGTGACTCTCATGAATTAAATAAATAAATAAAATAAAATAGAAGCTATATATATATCCAACAGAATAATATCACTCAGCCACAAAAAAAGAATGAGATCTGGCCATTTGCAACAACATGAATGGGCCTAGAGGGCATCATGCTAGTCATATTAGTCTAGCTAGGTCAAATAAATCAGAGAGAGAGAGACCATACCATATGACAAATACCATATGACTTCACTCATATATCAAATTTAAGAAGTAAAACCAAGGAACAAACAAACAAACAAAAAAGGAGACCAAAAACACCAGACTCTTCAATACAGGGAACAAACTTGTGGTTGCTAGAGGGGACTGGGTAGGTGGGGAGAATAAGTGAAATAAAGGGGATTAAGAGGTGCACACTTCCAGTTACAAAATAAGTCTCGAAGATGGAAAGTTCGGCACGGAAAATACAATTAGATCGTAATAATGTTGTTGGGTGGCTTTACTTATGATGTGAGCACCGAGTAATGTATATAGAGTTGCCGAATCATTAAGTGGTAGCCCTGAAACTAATATAACCCTATACGGGAATTAGACAACAACTAAAAATTCGTGGCGGGTGGATGCCCAGCTACCTACTCCATCAGAAAGCTCTTTTTACAGTCCAATGCGATGATATTGTACTTAGCACAGGACCTCGGTGGGCACAGTGAAAATTCAGAAGATGCGGGATTCCAAAATCTGAGCCAGTGGGTCTGCACAAAGACTTTTAAGTATTTGAAGGTGAAAGCAGACTCCTATTGGGATTATTTTGCTATCAAATCCTCACGGTGAGGTTCCGCATCAACACGCACTGCACCACGCACACTCTACGCCTGGTTTTCCGACAAGCATCGCTCGGGAACATGCCCTGCTCCTTTCCTACCGTCGCAGGAACACATACCGAGATGTTTGTTGACCCAGCACGTGAAGTACACGATGCGCCCTTTATGGAGTCCCTCAAGCCAGAGAGCACTGGGACCGATTCCTTCTGAGAGTGGAGCTTGGCTGCAATGGGGCAGTCAGTGGGTGGGCTGCGAGGGAGTGGGCTGGGATGTCATCACAGCGGGGACAGACGGGAGGGACCCACTCTTGGCTCCCACTGAATTCCCACAGACTCCACACCATTGCCAAGCTTCACCAGCAAATGCTCCGCCAAGTCAAAGGCCTGTTTTTATTCTGGACACTTCAACGGAATTTAAGAAGACTTCTTTTGCTTAAAAAAAACATTTAATAATACTCTTCCACATTTTTCCTCGTCGCAACTTGAACTCAAGAGCTACCTAGCTCCAATGACTGCGGCAAATCCCAAATCCAAACCTTGCAAAACAGATGCCCGGGCGTC